CCGGAGTCTACAGCCAACTGCAATATACTGCGCAATGCTTGCAAGTTTAATGGCAACTTATTTAGCTGTTCATTTTAATTCGTTCCTCTAATAAATGCAGGTTAATTGGTAAAGCAAATTACAATTGGTTGACAAATACACTCTTTAAAGTGAAAACGTGAGAGAAGGTACTAATAATATAGTTACCTATAAATATCTAGAATATAATACAATCATTCAAGTTAGAGAAAAACCACATTTCTTCAGTTGAGGCAGATAGAATTATTCTCTTTACAGTTCCAGGTACTAGGTCAAAGCTTCAAACTTATCAAAAATTGCACTTTAAACAAAAAAAAAACAAAAGTCCTGATAGCGACAAAGTTCAGCTTCTGTATCAAATGCGACCAAGAGAATAACCATTAAGCATTTCCTTGTGCTCTGCGTGCAATAAATGAATGAAAAACTCTGATGAAACTTGGTAGATACAATTGATAACTTGCCCCGAGCTAAACTTTTTGCTTTCCAGTCCATTATTGACGTCTAAGATAGAAGGGAACGAACGGTCCGAGTTTGCGATATTTTTAACCTTTCACTCTGTAAAGATATTTTGAAATCTCCAGTAAATTTAATGGATTTTTAATTACCGACTAGAAAAGTTTTACCTAAATTTTATTCCTTTCTGTGTCAAAGCGTTTGCGACATGTTTTTTAATACTGATTACAACCTTGATGCGTCCATGACTAAATTATAAATAAAATTCTTTTTACTAAAATTTTTGTGTTACCTGGTTACTTATATAATATAGATAGTAATAAAATCTATAATACACAAACAACAAACATCAACTTTGGTGTAGTTACTATTCCTAAACATAGAACTGAGTCAGAAGTGCTATATTGCCTTCTATGTTAGACCCATCTAAACAATAACTTTCAAAGATGGTGGCTTTAAGTTATTGCTAGTTAGTTACTGAAGTAATAATAATTCATTTCTATCTGTAAAATACTGCACATGGCGTCCTTCTTTTGTAACATTAATGCGAAAATATGATAGGTGAATTAATATAATCGTCACAGTAAACAGGTAGGTATCATATTTACACTACTGTGTACCTGTAAATTTATACAAGGATCAAACGTTCGTATGTGAGACTTGTGTGGTTAATATTATTTAATTATTATTAAATGTAATAAAACCTACTTTGACTTGGACTCATTATCGGTAGGCATTCTTTTAATTTAATAACTAGGAAAACGAAGGTGCTTCGTCTATAACTATTTAATCAATGAGTTCGAGGACATATTAACTTAATATTGTTTACTGCTAATAAATCAGAATTGAAGAGTTTCAAGTAACACTTCACTCACTAATTCCTGGAATGCTGGTCAACGTTTATTAGTGTGCTGAGTAGAAAAGTAATCAAGTCTTCAATATATCGTCTCACACATCTAAGTCGGAGATAACTCTTAATTGTTTGCCGTTGCCGTCGGTACCGTTGGGGAATCGTCTCGTTATACCTTCTATCTTGTTTGCGAACAAATTTAAAGTTTTTAAAGAAGAATAATTAAGAATAAAGTGGATGTTTTAATCCAAGACTCCTCCAGTTTGGTTAGTAAATACTAAGTGAGATTTCTAACCGCCGTAAAACGATTAGTAGTTACCATTTTCCAATTCTAAAGAAGCCAGTCAAAATTATAGTATAATTTAAATCTTAGAATCAAATTCTTCAAAAATTTTGTGACTGAAAAGCAAGTACAAACTGACTTTTTACATAAATTCTAAGAATACTTACCTCTTTCCCTGAATAAGTATCAATGTTAGGCATGATGATGATCCTGCTACTGAGGTGATGGCGTGTTGAGTAATCAGATGGCTGCTTAAAGCATTTTTGGCAGTTATAAACAGGGATATTAATTCTATCGCTACTGCAGCATTAATGCTCTGCTTTATAGCGCTATTTAAGACTTTATATTCGTAGTATTGCGTTCGTTTTTCTATAGTGTTACTACAATAGTCCATAGTTCACAAAAATCAACAAGTTTGCTGTTTACAAAAAAGTTAACATCATGCTTTTGAAAAATAAAATATTATCTGAAAAAGTGACATGGCTTAAATTATCTTAATATAGTTTTGGCAAATTAAAGTTTCTCTGTTTTATTCATCACATTTCCGAAGCTTTCGTAACATGCTCTACTTGTTCTGGTAAAATAATTCGACGGCCGGATGGCGTAGTAGTTTGTGTTACAGACTGCTACGCCAACGGTCACGGGTACGATTCCCGCTTAATTCAAACATTTGTGTGTATAAATATTTAATGTTTCTATATATAATATGTATGTATTTACAAAAAAAAAAATGATATGTCTTTATATCAGTTGTCTAGTACTCATAGTACAAGCTCTGCTTAGTTTGGGACTAAATGGCATTGTTTAAATGTGGGAAAAAACTTGTAATAAAACGTTAATTACTTCGGATTGTTGGTTAACCACATTTTGTAGCAGTGATTTATCCGAATAGGGTGAGTCAATTACATAGCTCGGTGACGGTATTTGACATAAATATATACTGTTGCTAGTGCTAGGACGACTAAGTATGACTTGCGAAGGAGAAGAAACAGTACATGATCTACCCTATATCAATCCGTCATACCGACTGTTCATCATAACACCATGAAGTTCATACATTATTTCTTCCCTTTCAAGTTTTGGATATTCCTTGATTTTCTTTGCCAACATTTTACAAAATAAATCGCATTCGTGTTCTTCTTTCCCTCTTTCTTCAAATCAATGCGCTCAAAGCGGTAAAAGTAGTATATTTATTTTTTAACTTAAATAACTACTTATTAATAAATACTTGGGTTCTTTTGAGGGATAGAAGGGAAGCGCTAGCCTCTTCATACAAAGCAGTGTCTGGATAAAAAAAACAAAAAAAAAAAGAAATATAATATTTAAGTGCAAACTAGCAGTTTACAATGTATTAGTTGAAATAAAGTTTTAAATACCTACCTAACAATTTTTTTTCAGATGCCTAAAACTACGGCTGAATAGCTTTCAAAGGCAGAAGAATTAAATTTTCCTTATTGTATTGGCGCTTTGGATCGGAAACATGTCATGATTCTCCCGCCACCACATACCGCATCGGTGTACGAGTACTTCAATTATAATAATAACAACTTCACACATCTCACACACGGCCGTCTGATCCCAAACTAGGCAGAGCCTGTACTTTGGTAACAAGACTGCTGATAAACATACTTTTATTTTTAAATACATACTATATATATATATATATATTATAGATAAGTTACACCCAGAAACAGAACAAATGACCGTGCTCATCACACAATATTTGTCCTGGGTGGGATCGAACCCACGACCTCCGGCTTAGCAGTCAGGGTCACTAACCACTAGACCAACAGGCCCGTCTATTATAAAGGATAATTCAGTATCGTACTGTTAGCACTAGTTGAAAGTGACTACTGTTTTTTGTTTGCAGATTTAGGTTGCCCAAGACGAATAAGCGATGGTGGAGTATACAATCAAAGTGTTTTAAAGCAAAACTTCACACAAATGTGATCAACATGCCACCTGCTAGTCGCTGTCCCAATATTAACACTAACATACTATGTCTTTTTAGCTGATGCGGCATTTGCACTGAGTACACATATTCTGAAGCCATTCTCTGGGCATCATAAATAGTTGAGTAATTTGTAAGAGTTAAAATTTTAATTACAAATAGAATTTTGGAGACAAAATTACACGGAAACATTTGATCCACTGCAACCTGTACCAAGAGCTCTTTTATGTGCAGGTGAAACAAGATTAAATTTTATGAAATATATTCACGAGTATAACAGTTAGTTATAAAAGTGAAATAATTCTGAAATAAATAAGATTGTAGAATTTTTGTTTTTTTTTCCTTACTTTTTCTTCTGAATTTATAAGACTCGAGGATTCGTAAATATCTGTTCGTCATGCTGCAAGTTCTTCTACTCCAGCCCATGACTTCATCGAAGATTTCTTTTTATATTATCCTAAATGTAGCAAGCAGATTGTCTTTTTTTCTTTTTAATTCATATACCGGAACACCAATCGTGTCAGCATTACTTTTCCACGAATCATTAATCTGAAACAATATGACATACCTACCGAAATAAAAATGACCTACCTAGACTCTTGTAAGATTCAAAAATCTAATTTCCTAATTTATTAAATTACAACATCTTTATTTTTGTGGTAATTATTTTTCGGATTCCACAGGCAGTTTTCTGCTGCTTACAACTCACGAAATTTTAATGTTTCGTCAGTGATTATATTAGCCATTTCAGCAAAGGAGATTAACCAACGAGAAAAAAAAACTGCAAGAAGCACGCATGCACTCTCCTTAGCAAATCTGATAATACTGATGCGTCCTCAGACGTGTGGACAAACGCCGGGCGATCGCGCTGAAACCCTTCGTTGCGTGCCACAAAAACCGATTAACAAACGGATTGGTGACCGACGCATCTGCCGACGTTAAATACCTATCACAGATGAGCAAATTTCCCCGTCATCTGCTCATGAATCAGTTGAGGTGATGAGAATGCTTAAGAATTATGGTTAAGCTTAGATCTCTAGATACTATAGGTGATTGTTATTTTTTTATAAACGATTCATAGAAAAAAACCATTTACAAATTTGAGTAGGGTCAACACTATGATAAAGCTAATTTAACTGTTTTATATATATCATCTAATTGGCAAATAACAAAAAAAATCTTCTCCGTCTTTAAATTTCAAATTGACATTTTAAAAGTGCACATCAAATGAAAAAGAAAACAAAAGATACTGGCAACATGAAACCATAATACAAATACAATTTATTTTTAAACAACGTTCTTGTGACGTTCAAGATTCATCGGTTTTGACAAAAATGACAGCATGAACAATATCATAAAAATTCACGTGAAAATAAAATGAGACAAAATACAATATAATGTGACTTTTACTAAACTGCATTTTTATATAAAAGTAATACTGTGATATGCCGGGGCCGGATGTGAGAACCAATGACAATGTTCTCGACGACATGTCGACAGAGCCTACGGCAACTGTACATAGTGGCGTAGAAGCTAAACCTGAAAGAAAATTAACTGTCCTCGAATCACATGGCTATGTGCTTGGCCGCACCATAGGCTCTGGCTCGTATGCCACGGTTAAGGTATCATAGTTATACTTACTTACGTAGAAGTAAAATTTACATTTTAACTTTTAGAATTACCCAAACCAAATATCTTTAAAAAATAGTCTTGCTTATCAGTTTTTTTTATGGAATCACTTCTATTATAACTGTATTTATACTAAAGATTCTTTAACATGGCTACGTACATTTCCATTTCATTCCTCGGATTAAGAATCTGTTTCTTAGTATATCTACAACTTTTTATATATTACACAATATATTTACTAACTTTTACATGGAATGTACATTTAGTAGTAGACATTAATCTAAATAGATATCGGAGTATATGGTTTGAGTACCGGCTTAAAATAGGTGCTGATTCTAATACGGTTCTGTATTTATACACATGTCAGTGAGCAATTAATCAAGCTGTGTGCTGATGGCAAGAGCTCACCCTGACCTGTAGTAACTAACGTATCAATTCCGCCACTTGTACTTCCCCAATAATTTTTACACGATACTAGTGAGCCCACAGAAAAACTGTATTTTCCTAGTAGCTAATTAGCTAATTAGTATTCTTTAGGGAAATGGAGTGTTGTCTGAAACTAACGGTTCATTTTGAGCTAAAATTATCCTTCAAAATCATTAATAGATTATAAGTTAAAGGATTACTAACGTGACTGTAAATGTATTACATGTTGATCATCATCTAATAGACGCCAGATCCATTGTAGGCCCTTTAATGCAAGGACATTATTATTACTTACGATCCAGCCTTTATATTTGCTGATTTTAAATCAGTGTTAGTCCTAGACGTAGACCTCATTTCAGTAATAGGTTTCAAAATCATTTACCATGCTAACCCTTGTGAAGCACACTACGGTTTATACTAACCATATTTTCTTATATTCTTAAAGTAAGGACTTGATTGTCCCTCAGCAAGAAATTGTCACATTTGTAATGCAATCCTTAATTACATAAAGAGAGAGGTGTTCATGCGACCGGTGATTGAAGTGAGCGGCTATAGTTAAACCGCCATAAGCTTGGCCCTCCTGATGGTTTGCGGGACGCGGGGCGGGTGATGCGCTCGGCTATACATGACACGATGTACTAACTCGATATCTTCAGATTTATTTGTTTGAGATTTAATCTACACACGATGTAATAAAAATCTAATTTATTTCCATGTATTATAATATCAGTGTATTGTAAGTTTTTATGATTAATTGTAAAATTTAATACTGTAAAATAATTTTAATGAAATCACCTTATCTTCATCATGTAAATATTCAGATACAATTAAAAAATTAAGTAAAATAATAAATATTCTTTATTAGAACTTTAACAGTAGAACCTCTGTAAGCCGAACTTCAAGTATTTAAATCTTTTTGTGTCGCAGAGTCGGCAGATTATCCATGTTGCAATATAATACCGTGTGTAGCAGTCTTAAGAAAAATAACACGAACAGCCATGCTTTCACGTCAGTCACTGCCGGCGGACAGCGACGCACTATGTAATTGGTTGAATGCACCCCCGCCCCGCGTCCCCCAAACCATCAGGAGGGCCAAGCTTACGGCGGTTTAACTATTATACAAGACACTAATCGCTCGGCCTATGCACAAATTTACAAAATTACAGAAACTGTCATCTCCGCTTCACTTGTCCAAATTTACACAAGTTTATTACATTTTCAGGTCGCTACAAGCGACAGGCATAACTGTCAAGTGGCAATTAAAATAATAAGCAAATTCCAAGCACCAGGTGATTATCTTAAAAAGTTTTTGCCAAGAGAAATTGAAGTTGTGAAAGGTCTTAAACATGAAAATTTGATACGCTTCCTTCAAGCTATAGAAACCACTCACAGGTATTGTAACCCCTTAACAATGTCTTAAATACTTATGTATCTGTTGTATATTTTTTTATTTATTATCTATGGTAGACGTGATAAAAGACTACAAACAATGATTTTACTGAAAATGAGAGGAAGATCGATTGGCATTATTTGATTCTTATTATCGCATGAGCGTATTTCAATATACCTTAGCAATATACCTTAGCACCTTATACCGTGCATATTCGAACGCCCAGACTTTAGAATTGGCGTTTGGTTTACATTTATCAAATAGAAATGAAATCGGTAATTTTCTCTGTTCTTCTTGGTTCGGTTGGTTCGGTCTCGGTTCTTATTTTAAAAGGCCATTTACCTATCGGAATTTGGACTTAGTCAAAGCTTACATAGACATTTTAGATTTTGCTTCACAAGCATCAACCTAGATGCTTTCTGCCCTGCGTATTTAGTGATGGCTGTTTCTTTTGTGAAAACCCTGCAAAAATCATTTACCATGCTATGACCATGCATGACTATGACTATACTATCTTTTATTTTAGATCAATTTTTGTTTTACAAATAGACATTCTGCTACCATAATAGACAAATTAAGAGCTACTTACCATTACTACTAATAAATAATACTAGTATTTAATCGTAGTTGTCTGAATAAATATTTTTAGGGTTTACATTGTTATGGAATATGCCGAAAATGGCAGTCTCCTAGATATAATACGCAAAGATCAACATATAGACGAGTCCCGAGGCCGACGCTGGTTTCGACAACTCGTTGAAGCAGTAGACTACTGTCACGAGAGAGGCGTGGTACACAGGTGCTTACTTGCTCTATATATCAAAGTAGAGATTGACTGGTACTCGAATTTTAACCATAATTCATTAAGATTGTTTTTGGGTTCATTGACATTTTCAATAACTTGACCTTCCATTGTATAGCTTTTCGTATCATAGCAGATCACGATTTATACTAGAGCCGTTTGCACATAGTTTTTAAACTTTTACCACGATTTAAAATTTTTGCTTTCTGCACTTGTTGCATATACACCCTTCAACCTTCTTTCCCACAATTATCTTACATGCAATCTTCACGTTACACTATATGTGTGATTTGTTATATAAACTAGACAATTTGATAGTTTCTTAGAAATTTATTTCAAGTAGAAATGAGAAATCATCGTTAGAACTATCATTTATTCATAAAACCGATTATCTAAAGAAAATAATGATATCATAAAAATGAATGCCTCGCAATAGGCACAAGGAATACACACACACCTTAACATACTGCCATACCAAACCTGCCCATGAAATTACCTATTTACAGTCTATTTGTCCATTCAAAGGTTGCCTGTAAGATATTAGAAGATAGATAGCGATAAGGCCGCCATTTGTACATGGTCATTAACTGGGAATACTATTGTATGTATAATATCCTGAATTAGTGTACAATAAAGATTATTCTATTCTATTCTATTCTACTCTTCCAGAAAGAGAAGGGTTTTTAGAGCCTTGTCTCGAAATAGTACACTAACTTTTTTAATTTGTAAAGTTCCTTTAAAGAATTAAAACATTTCAGAGATATAAAATGCGAGAATTTACTAATGGACCACGGTTTAAATATAAAACTATCAGACTTTGGTTTCGCAAGAGGTCACATGAAACCAAAAAATGGTGTCTATGCTCTAAGTGAGACTTTCTGCGGTAGCTATGCGTACGCTTCGCCAGAAATTTTGAAAGGTGTTCCATACAGACCACAAGATTCTGATATATGGAGTATGGGCGTCGTGCTTTATGCAATTGTGTATGGGAGACTGCCGTTTGATGACACGAATTATACACAACTGCTGAAGGTAGTGTAAATCTTCTATAAAACTATCACAGTTTGACGTCATTTATAAAAGTAGGTACTCATTGCATAAGTCTTAATATTAGTTTAATTAAGACCACGTTCTTCTTCAGCAGACCATCACTACCATGTCGAATCTGTTGAACTCGTCGAAACGAGTCATGTTAGCCCAAAATTGACGGGTTTCTTAGGAACTACAGAAACTGAAGTGTTCCATCACCTACTTCATTGTGAGATCAGGCTCCGTAGCAACGTGCTAAATTATAGTATTTTGATCTAAACTACATTTTCATGAAAAGTTTAATTTCTATACAACAGTTGAATAAGTAGGTCAAAATTATCGGGCAAAATTTGTTTACATAACTAATTAGTGTCAAGTGAAGCTAATGCCATAAGTAACTTTTTTTTTCATATTCTCAGCAAGTACAAAACAAAGTGTCTTTCCCGCGAGAACCAAAAGTGTCAATGGACTGTCGCAAGCTAATAACAAAAATTTTAGCACCATTAAAGGTGCGTGTTAAGATACCACAGATCCTAGCTGACCTCTGGCTCAACCCCAACCAGACTGTGAAAGACGAAGAACAAGAGACCGCCCAGGTGAGTAAATCGCTTATAATGAATAAAAGCCATCATCAAACCAGCCTAAACAAGATAATAGTTCAGAACTGCTGATAATTAAGAAATAGACGGAACAAAAAACTCGACTGCTTTTTAATAGATCCTAGTATTATAGGAATACACACTTATTATAGGAAACGAGAAAAACACAAAGTTCAAAATTGGTATACCTATGTTGCTTCCACTTGTTTGACGTGTTCATAAGTATAAAATGTGCTTTTATGATTTCTTTTTCATTAGTTTTATAGATAGAATTAGTTATCGCATAAAGCGTGATTAGACTCATTTTTATTGTTTTTATTATTTAGTGTACAATGTCATAAGGCTCTCCGACAAGCATTTGTTCAATTAATTCTTTTTTTCGTTAACGTTTAGCTTTTTTTCGACATCCGTCCTGTTTTTACTTTCGCTTTTACAGTGATTATCTAACCTTTTTTGGTTAAAACAGATCATAAAGGAAAATTAAACTATAAAATATTTTGTATCATACCTAAAACATATCTAACTCGTCTTCTAATGGTATTTATGTTTTTCCCCATTTAAGAGCAAATCATTATCAGTCCCACAATCAAACACCTTGAAGATACCATCGGTTTCAACGAACTTCAAGAGGTCATCCTTTACACCTTCAAGTAATCTCTCCTTCTCGACATTACCCAAATAAAAGTATTAAATCATCTGAAAATGATACAGAGAAAACAATCTCGAGGCTACCCCTGACCAAGTCAGGTGAGTCGAGCTCATTTTTCATTGGCCTATAATAATGTATATCAGACGGATGTTTAATGGCATACACAACTTAATCTGCAGGTACTTAGTAGCAACACCGAATCAATTGATATTAGTTATCTATACTGGTACAAAATTTACAGAAAATAATAAATTAAAAAGTGTCACTAGCACTCTATCTATCATTTTCTGTCAAATGAACCATGTAAACAAGATAACTTCGAAAATACTAATATGTTTGTGTTCCTTCATCCAAACGCCTGAGTTGTTATGCTGCTACTTGCCGCTGATTGTTACAATAGGCAACGCAAAAAAGCTTTATTTATAAAGATGTGCAAGGTCATAGATGTCGTTTTATTAAAGAGATATTTCAGTTTACCAGCAAAATGCTTGTCGGATTTTCATTGTCGTAGTTTTGCGTACTTACTCCAAAAGTAGATTTTTTTTGGAATCAATCAATCAATCAAGTAGTTATTCATAAACGCTCAAATAGATATATATTAACTATTTTAAACAGGAATCATCTTACAGGAAACGATCCCGGTCTCAAAAGAAGAAATAAAGAGTGTTAACATTGGTACTGTAACTTTTGACAGGAAATTAGAGGAAGTGAAATAATGCAATAAAAAGAAGAAACCATGAATAAAAGTCAAAATAAACACGATTATGTCGTAGTTTTGCATTTTATTGGTCGCTCTTAACGGTATTATTGTAATAAATTGTGAAGTTAAACAATTTATAATTAAAGAGAATAACACGCGACTACTTATTTCCACTTGTTAACAGGACTTTCAATATCTTTAATGAATGCCCTCAGTATATTTTGGTCAATAAGTTATTAGTTGATGCTAATTACTAGAGTTCCGAACCTCAAAAAGAAAAAACGGAACCCTTGTAGGATCACTTTGTTGAAATTAAAGTCACATACTCAGATCTACAGTCCCATGACGCTGTGAAAAATCAAACTTCTAAGTTAACGTGAAAAAAAGATACGGCCGATTATACCGCAAAAAAAAAACGCATATTTCGACACTCTCAAGGAAATTAAAATTAATTCGGTACTAGAAAACTATGAAATTTGGCAAGTAACATCGTCTTATACTACAAGTACGAGAAAAAATCTGAAACTATACATTTGTAATTATATTCTAAAAAAATATAGTCTGTTTAAAGTACATACCTAATCAGTCATCGAGGTAAAATTTCACTTTTAAAACACAAATAATATAGGTTTCGGAATAAACTCGGCAAAAAACTGCGAGACTGATTTTTGAACTATTTATAATATGTACCTACAAGTTTGTACGGAACCCTCGGTGGGCGAGTCCAACTCGCACTTGTCCGGGTTTTTCTAATTTAATATCAAATTTAATCCTGAAAACTAAATTCACGTGGTAGTGTATGACTACCGCCGCCCATGGACGCGTGCAACTCAAAAGACAAGAACGATGCCGTTTCTGTGAGTGTTCTCCTACTCTGAATTATTTTAGTTTTTGTTTTTCGTTTTGTTTTGATTTTATTTAAAAAGACAACTCCCGCCTTAGCAAGATGTATCCTGTTTCGCGGGGAACTTTAAAAACATACATGAAACGGACCAAAGAACACCCAGACTCAGAACAACAATTTGTGGATCACACGAAGCGGTGTCCCATGTGAGGATCGAACCCACAACACTCAGCGCAGTAAACGCTTAAAGCCATTATTGAGGCCCCCTTATTAATTATGGGCACTCAAAGCCTGAACGCCAGTTGGGTGGTCTTCCGGCAAGCTCATGGTGACCTCACGAACTTTCACAATCGGTGAAAAGCCAAAATTTATTCCAAAACTTATATTATTTTTGTGTTTCATAAGTGAAATTGTATTTCGAGGACTGATTAGGTATGTATTTTAAACATAGACTATATTTTTTTATGATTTAATTACAAATTTATAGTTTTCAGATTTTTCCTCGTACTTAGATGTTACTTGCCAAATCTCATAGTTCTAGCACCGTATTAATTTTAATTTCCTTGAGAGTGTTGAAATATGCGTTTTTTTGCGTGCGGTATAAACGGTCGTATCTTTTTTCACGTTAACTTAGAAGTTTGATTTTTTCACAGCTTCATGGGACTGTAGATCTGAGTATATGACTTTAATTGCATAAACCAGCCCAAATGTGCGCACGCATGACAAAGAGAAGGAAAATTGAAACAAACCCTATACCAACCAAAAGGTTTAACCTTTCTAAGGAGCGCCCTATGTCCAGCAGTAGACTATTAAAGTCTATTGATGATGATGATTATGGTTCTCCCAGTATAATAACTTTACTAAATCTCTAGTGACGTGTACCTACACATCACCAAGGATCGTACAATCAATAATATACCAATATTATTGATTGAATGTTGATTGACGTTGATTTTTATATATTACTAGCTTGTGCCCGCGACTCCGAGCATGTCGGTTATTGCGGTTAAAAGAAGCCCATGTCACTTGCTGATAATGGTTCTGTGAGTGAGCGAGTCGGTGCGGGATTTCCTGAAAGACTTATACTGATGAGATCTTGAGATCAGTAGTATTGTAGATATTAGAAGAGCATAGTGGAAAGCACCAAGCGGGTATGAAAGGACTGATGATTGTAGAAAGTTACCAAGTTGTACCTATGTCAAAATCGTTGCAACAGGAGTACACAACATACATCACAGTTGTTCCACTTTTCCATATTTTTTTTGGCATTAAATAATCGTTTATGGAACAAATGTGTGTCCGTGTGAATTAAGAACGAATTAAGAATACGGTGTGTCACCACCCCTATTACCCCGTGGGTGTCCTAAGAGTCAATTTGAAAGAAGCAGACTACGCAGGACAACAGCACTGCAATTAAAAAGTAAAACTTGACACAAACCGTACACCAACTCGTCTGCCCAACAAAATATAGTAGGCCAAACCTCCTTTCTAAGGAGAGGCCTACGTCCAACAGTGGACTATTATGAGCCGTTGATGATGATTCAAGATGGCAACATATTTAAAAAATCGAAGTCTGTGTAACAAAAAATACGAACTATATGTTGCTAAATAACTAAATCAAGATGTGAAACAGCTACAAACTCTTAATATAGCTCGTTAGATAGTATGTATCTAATAATTAATTATTAAGACATTTTTGTTGGTTATTTCGGACCTTCTCACTGTCGAAATAAGCGCCCTCTATTGCTGAAAGTTTGACAGATAGTGATTAATGTAGTTATCAATTATTATGTTAGACATTGTTTAAAGGTCACCTTATTACCTACCTTGTTTAAACTAATTGTTTGATGGCAAGGCTTAGGCCCCTATTACATCGGGCACGCCGTCATCGCGGCGGTAAGACCCGTTATGGAAGATTGGCTCGAGAGGCATCACAGGACCCTCTCATACCGACAGGTGATCACTGGGAAAGGATGTGTCTGATCCGCAAAGAGCCAACGCCACCACTGCTATGGTCAGACCGTAGACACAGCGCTCCACACGCTGGCAAAATGCCCGGGCGTGGGTGGAGCATAGGCGAGACCTCGTGGCGGCCATCGGAGTGGAGTTCTCTCGCTCGATAACCTGATTGCGGCTATCGTGCGGAGCGAGAGTGCGTGGAACTCTGCCGTCTCCTCCTCTCCTCCATAAGCGCAGGCCTGGGGGTGACAGGTGAGGCCATCTGTCACCCTAGAAGAAGCAGGCCGGGGTGGCGGCGAGCGCGTTGCGAAGCGCGCGCGCCCTGCCGGGAGCACAGAGGGAACATGGGGGTTCCCACACAGGGGGGGTCGTCTACCCGCCGTAAAGGCCCGAGGTACGTCAGGGCACCAGGGATTTCCTTTCTAGGGTACACCTGGTTTCCCGACTACTGGTACCTGAGACGGCGTGCGGTTTTAGTCGGTTCGAGTCCGACATTGCCACCGGTAAGTTGTATCTGATATTACATGAGTGGGACCAAATAATAGTCACCAAAATGTGGTTAATACCCCTCTGCCTTACATCTTCCTTCCTTATACCCATTCGGGAATACAGGCGGTGTGTGTGTGTGTGTGTGTGTGTGTGTGTGTGTGTGTGTGCGTGTGTGCGTGTGTGCGTGTGTGCGTGTGCGTATGCGTGTGTGTGTGTGTGTAAATACAGGTTGTATTTATAAACAAAAATTAAGATTAGATAATATAAATTGTTAAGAGGACCAGGTGGATAGCATAGTTCCTTCTGCTGAGCTGTGACTTCGCTCGACTCGGGCACTTTTTTCCATGTTATCATATACTTAGAAATTGAATAGTGTTATGACTAATAACGCCACTATTAATCATTAGCTAGGACAAAATCTTCCGTCACTACGTAAGTAAGAACTTAAAATTGTATGTGTCTATTATTTCGTTTCCATCACATTGTGCATTTAGACTTCCAGGCGTGAGTGAGGACAGTGGTACTAGAGTTTAACTAAAACAAATAGCTCTACCTATGCGCAAACTTGTATTGTGAAGATAATCATACAATTAAATGTTAAAAGTACCAATTTTTTTTTTAATCAACGACCTTCCGTTTTTTCTTCTGAACTTTCGGTTCTCTCATCGTACAGACGTACTCGTCATCTTCAAGTAACTTTGCTTCTCTGGCAGCTGTTCTTTTTGCTTTCATTATACATAGGCAGGATAATGCCAGAGTGACTATGTAAACAACAGCCGCGATCCAACAGTTAATTGCCACCTTGAAGAAAAATATTAACTTGTTAGACTTCGAACGCTATATGTACCTACGTACGTACCACGCTATTAATTCTTTTTAATGTAAAACAACTCTCCCCTTACTTTCCTCCAATTTGTTCGAATGATTTTATAAAAAGGGACGGAAGAGTGTAACGAAAAGCGGAGAAGGCGCGCTATTTTATTTGACTAATGAGGGCTCACGGTGTTATTATGTTAGACATTACTATGGCGACTACGGCACTTTATTACGCATATAAAGTGCTAAAAAAATACTTTTCATATTTATACTAAAGGTTTCTTAAAAGTACAAAATAATTACAAACCTAGCTAACATGTGCAATCATTACTTTTATTGTGAAGTTAAAAATACATCTTGACCATAATACAGAGTCGAGGACTGCTGTTGATAGACTATATTATTCTGTTGTAAAATCGATTGATAATAATACGAAATTATTTATAATCAAAGAAAGACGAATGAGATTCTGAAGGTGAAGTACTTTCCGACCGACCGCGCAACACTTTTTACTAGGTAGTTAGTTCGATCTTGTTTGGGGCGGCGACGGTCCTGGCGCAATATCCACCCTTCGACATTCTGGCCGACATGGACGCGATGGTCTATGACCAAGTTCGTTGTGTCGGTCGGAATGGTGAGAAGGCCGCGCCGGATCATGAGCCCGGAATGCTACGACGAAACGCGCATACTCAGACTCGGTGGGTGTGGCAGGCACGGCTTGTAATCCAGGGCTGTGCTAGCCAACGCGCCGTCAGAGCCGTTCTGCTGAGCTTCGAAGTGTGGGTAGGGACGACTGTGTCACCTACCGATTGACTCAGATACTTACCGGGCTAGGTTGTTTCGGTGAGGTTACGGCACAATGCCACCATTGCGGGTCCGACCGCCCAGCACACGGTGGAGGATTGCCCTGTATGGGAGTCCGCACGTCGAGTCTTGGTCCGATCTGTACCGGACGAAATCTGTCACTGCCAGCATTGATCGCGGCAATGCTGGCGAGTAGCGAGGGATGCGCAGCCGCGTTCTCCTTCTGCGAGTACGTTATGCTTCAAAAGGGCGCCGCAGAGCGGGATCGAGAGATTGCCGATCCCGCTCGAAGGAGGCGGCGAAAGGGACGCGCCAGGGGTCGCTAACTCCCCAATCGCCGCCTAAGGGTCGCTGCGGCTCATCTTAGGGCGATGTGACCGCTGTAAACGACCCGAGACAGATGACACTCCGGTGCGGCCGGGTGGTGTCGTCTAAGGCGGGAAGTGGGAGTCGCGGTAGCGTCCTGCCCCAGGGTCACTCCGGGATGTGCTTCAGACATGGGGTACGGCACAGAGGACTCCAGAAGTCGCCGATGCGTTCCTGGAGCCCCTCCCGACTGCCGAGGTAGGCCGCCGCGGGGTTTAGACGGTAGACTGGTTCTCCGGGAGTCCCACATACGCCCTGCGTTTCCCCAACGGAGGGTATGGTGCGAAAAGCATTCCCCGCGTGAAAAGAAAGGTAGTTAGTTCGATAAAAAAATATTGGGTTATTATTATAAAATAAAAAATAAAATAGTTATTATTTAGTAACTGGTCAAGTTAGATTATTTTAAAATGGATAGTTTTTAGGGTTCCGTACCTCAAAAGGTAAAAAAGGAAACCCTATAAGATCACTTTCTTGTCCGTCTGTCCGGGTGTCGCCGCCGATTTTCACAGGAACGGGTAGACCTAGCAAGTTTTAAATTTATACCAGATACTGAGGTCTATAGTCCCTATTAGGTGTATAAAAATCAAGGTCCTGAGTCAACACGATAAAAAGATATGGGCAAATTCGCGAAACCTTTTAAGTACCAAAATTTACCTTAATTTTCCTATCCTTATCCTATCCTCATTTTTCCGTTGACCTAGAATCACGAAATTTGTCAAAAAGAAAAGGCACGACACATAAAGGAATAATTCCAAAAATAAGAAGGTTGAAAATTAAGATAAATCTTGGTACTTACAAATTTTCGCGAAAATCTACGTAAAATCTAGGTAGGCACGGAACCCTCGGCGCACGAGTTCGACTCGTACCTGACCGGTTTTTTTTTTATCTACTGAGTTTTCACCTTTTTTTTCTGTGCGGAACTCCCCTCGGATACCACCCACCAGTGAGTGATAATGTCGGACTCGAACTGACCAAAAACCGCACTCCGTCTCCAGGTACCAGTAGCCGGGGAACCAGGTATACCCTAGAAAGGAAAGCCCTAGTACCCCGACGTACCTCAAGCCATCTACGGCTTATAGATGACCCCTGCTGTGTGGAAACCCGTATGTTCCCTTCCTGCTCTGTAGCGCGTCGCGCCATTACCCACCCCGGCCTGCTTCTGCTAGAGTGACAGATGACCTCACCTGTCACCCTCAGGCCAGCGCCTATGGAGGACGGAGGTGGGTCTGCGACCTCCGGCGCCCGAGCCGTCTGCGGTACCTGGCCCGATCTCGGGCCTGGCGAGCCGGGAGGGTTCTGAACCTCTACCGGTCTCGCTCCGCCATCTCCTTGGCAAGTATAACTTGCTCGCAGAAAGAGACGGCGGAGTTCCACGCACTCTCGCTCCGCACCATGGCCGCAATCATGTTACCGAGCGAGAGATCTCCCACCCGGATGACCGCCACGAGGTCACGCCTCTGCTACACCCACGCCGGGCATTGTGCTAGAGTGTGGAGCGCCGTGTCCACGGTCCGCCCATCGCAGTGGTGGAATCCAGGCTTTGGCTCCTTGCGGAACTGAGTTTTCACCTATGGAGCTTTATTATTACACAGCAAAATATATATAGTTTGTATCTTTAGAGCCTATTTAGGTACTTTAGAGCCTCCACATTAGTGCAAGAATTTTTTTGGGCTAAATAGTTATTTATTTATAATTTTCTTTTGTAATTAAATTTTTTGGTTATTTTTTTATTTTCTTATGCTTTCTCACGTCTTGCATGTCGGTAATGCAAAACTTGAATAAAAAGACCCAATGTATACTCTTTCCTAAACTATGGAGATCTCAAAACGTTTATGTGTTTTAAATAAACTATAATAATACAACATGAATATACATGTATGTATGTATATTAAATTACTTACTGCAAGATAATTCTCTTTTGTCTTTTTAATGAAGTCATCATAATCATCATAGTCTTCCGCTTCAACTTCTTCGAATAAAATAGGCACCTCAAAATAGAACATAGATCCCAGGATTGTCTAAAAAATCGTTAAATGCATATTGATACAGTGCATACTTATAGAACCTACCTACCTTTTACCTTAGAATAATAACGCTTAGAAACCGAGATCACGCACGATAAGTGAGGCAAATAAAAGTAAGCCATTTTTGATTCAGTAATGAACGGCCGGCGTCAGTGCTCAAGGTCAAGTTGTAGTGCTAACAGCTCTCGTAATTTTAATTGACGGAATTACAGTTTATGCACTGTAGGTACATTAATGTAAAACACATTCCAAAGCAAGTATAAAACACTAAATTTCGGCAGACGCCATAAGGGCCAAATGTGCTACATTTAGTTATAATGGCGTCTGCCGAAATTAGTTAAGTTAAAATGCTTTACCTTATTTTAAAAATGTATGTCCTAAAATTAAAAAAGACTTATTATTGCATAGGCAGTTAATTCACTTGCACTGCACACCTTGTCACAGGGTTGTTAGTATTAATAAAATAAATTTCTGCAATCGTAAAAACCGAAGTGCAGAACCCTCTAATGTCCTGAAGAAGAAGCAGTGCCAATTTTCCTACTTTTGGTGAAAATCTAATTCTGATAGCAACATTACTTATACTCGTACCTTCGCGTGCATGTCGCCGACCGTAAATACGTATGATTTACACCTACATCAATTGTATTGTTGCCTCAAACAACGGTTTTTTGATATGAAACTATGGTTCTATGCGTTATTATTCTAAGCCTTCTAGTAAGTTTACCTAAATTACATTCCTACCTAATATGAATCAATTTTAATAAATAAAATACATTGCTTTATCCGTATCGCAATGTAATATGTTATGTCAGTGCCGTAGCTAGGCGTGGGCAAAGTGGGCCATCGCCCACAGCCTCACGCTTGGGAGGGCCTCGCGTTACTCCTTTAAATGCTATGTCCCCAGACTTTACCACAGATGAGTTGAATTTGATCACATTTACATTCGAAGTATATTTATGTCGGGCCTCCCAAGAAGCCCCATTTTAAGTGCGACTGCGAGGCCATTGTAACTACCTTTAAAGACCGCTACTGTTAGATGGACGAAACACGCAAGTGACTTGTCAGGTATTAATAGCTATGAGCAGGCGCGGATCTTGAATTTTTGGGGCCCTGGCGGGACCAATTAGGGGCCTTTTTTGTTAACGGGTTGGAAAACCCCTTTTGATCTCCATCGCTTTGGAGACGTAGGAGTTCCTCATCTAAAACCCGCTCGACCTTTAACCTCAGGTGTTAAACTTTGGGAGGACCTGGACCATGTGATTTCAGGTCTCTCCCGGATCAATAATAATAATAATTTATCTCACACACACACACGGCCGTCTGATCCCAAACTAGGCAGAGCCTGTACTATGGTAACCAGACCGCTGATAAACATACTTATATATTTCTAAATGCATACATATTATAGTTAAATTAAATTAAATTAATTAGCAGTCAGGATCACTAACCACTAGACCAACATGCCCGTCAAACTAACTAGGTCCTGTCCCAGATCAACGCCGCACCTAACTAGGTCCTATTCCGGAAGAAGCCCCAGGCTTTCCTCTCCTTTTGGTCCAATCACCTATGTGTTGTGGCCCGGCCATGTTTTGATACAATTGCTAGCGGGGACAAAACTCATCCGATTCGATCTAGCAGGACCTCCCCTTTAGAAACCCACGCAGGGTATTTCTCTTGCGCATGGTGGTCAGTGCTGGCATTGCCGTCTACTCAAGTCCGATTCGAATTCAGGTACTCACCGAAGCAACCATGCCCGAGGAGTACGTGCATAAACTGGTAGATGACGCGACGATTTTAAAAGCAAAAAGTTTTATAATTACCTTAAGCAACAGGTGTGAAATTTAAGTCTGAACAATACTGCATTTAAAGGTAATTTTCGAAGTCTTTCTTAAGAAGTTATTTTTGACGCAGTCTTTACCAGAGGTCTTCAGTAAAGCAAAATGCCGAAAAAGTTACTATGGTAAGAAATTGAAATCACGCAAGTTACAAATTAAACCTTTTTTTTAAATCTATATGCTTTCTAATATTCTGCCATCACTCTTTGTTTTACTATCATGAGTAGGTATGTCGTGTCAAAGCATATTTGGTACAATAGATGTAGGTACTCTTTTTGTCACCTCCAAGGGCCTCGGTGATATAACTTCACCCACGCCGAAGTTAGTCCACGCTACGCCTCTATGTTATGTAGTATGTCGTACTCGTATCACCGTCTGCCATATTCACGATACCTTACAATGCTTTCCATTATCTTTTTTTTTAAATTGAGACAGGGCAACAGGAAAAAGAATACTAAACAAATAAGATGAAGAAAGAGATGAATTTCTATAGCAAAATATCAATAATTTTTCATTAAAATGATAAATATATTTTTAAACAGCAAATTTTGTGAAACCAGTAGACTGAGAGGTGCCAGATGTTTGTGAAGTTTTATTAGGTTAACAATTCTATTTTTATATTATATTGGTAATTTAAAAAAAAAAAACATATTTTTAAGTATTGTGCATGCTGCCAATGCCAGCACCGCGCAGCCGACTGGGACACCGCCCAGCACACGCTGGAAAACTGCCCCGCGTAGGCGTCTGAACGCGAAGTCCTGGTCGACCAAATCGGACGAGAGCTGTCCCCATCAGGAGACACAGAGGCCGCCAGAGAGTGGGGACCTCTGGTGGCAGATTGATTAATGCGGCAGGGGACAGGATGGCGGCCTGATTGCAATAAGACGCAATTGGCCCGCCAAGTCGCGATTGAGGGGCAGAAGTGTTTTCCCCTAGGATAGGGCCTGATTAGGCATGGTGTCAATTCAGGGAGTATCTGAAATAGCATGGTCCGGGTCCTCCCAGAGTAGGGCACCTGAGGCCGGCCGCTGGGGTGGTTTTTAGTGGAATCACCACATACTCCTGGCTTCTGAGTCCCCGAGGAGCAGGAGATCCGAAAGGATTTTTCACTCCGTCAAAAAAGGGGTATGAACTCATCACCAATCGCAACGCCGAACGCAATCGCCGTCGAGAGCGAGTTGATGTAAAATAAACTCACATTAAGATCTCTGCTTTCTATCAGTTTCATTACTAAGTACAGATGTCTTAAGTGTAGTGTGTGGCTAAAAAGATAAATTAAATAGAAAAGTATTAGAAAATAATTGAAAATAATCGACTGATGCAATCAAACGAAGTGATATTCTTTCTATATAGAATCTTTTGTTTTTATCATAGGGGCTAATGATCAGACGGGTCATCTGATGACACCTGAGGACTTCAGTTCCGATCAACTTTCGATCTCACAACTGTCATAAAATATATTTTCGTAGTAAATTATTAAACATTGACTGCAATATGATTATATCGTATTGTAACCGAAAATTGAATCGGGAATCTGCTTGTCTTAAAAATACTTTACTTTTTACTACGAAAATACCTTTTATGATAATTGTGAGATCGTAAGTTGATCGGAAGTAAATTAAGACCGAACTTTTATTACGAGAATTGGCCTTCGTTTTACCATTAATAGACACCTGCAACTCAAGAGTCACTAGTGCGTTAACGCCCTTTGAGTCCACCAGAAGAATCAGGGGAAGGGGAGGGTTTGAAGAAGTTTTCACTTCAATAGAGGTGTCGGTAACGGTAACTGTGTCGCGAGTTCAAGTTTTTTCCCCATCTCAATAAATGTCTTAAAAAATTAAATACAGTCTTTTGTTTATTGTCGAAAATGCCCAACGCACATAAAGAAGTTTCCACTTCAAAAAAAAAAACACTAACTTGTACAAAATATACACACACACATATATGGGATTTATGCCCACATACTTAGGTATTTAGTCACTTTCATCACCCGACGTAAACACCTTAAAGAACAATACCACATTCCGTCTTTACACTTGTCTTCTATTAGGATCTTCTTGTGTTTTACTTATCTTTTTCATTGTGAAAAACCTGACAGTCTCGTCGTGCTCTTCCGTTCGACCGTCGACGTTCTAGCCGGATGTGAACCCAATGGTACAAGAGGAATGGAAGAGAATTTATGTACGAGTAGTTACTGCCATACGGGACTAGCTAAACGACTGATCAACACTTTTGGTGAAAAAAAGACGGGCCTTGTTCTTGCACAGTGAATTGACATTAGTTTATAACATTGCAGTTTTCAGCCTTCTGGGTTCGCTACCAAATCCGATGATGAAAAGGAATTTAATGACGTATGCATATAAGTAGTCCGCATAATTATTTTATTATCGTCTTAATTAAATACATATTATTAAATACATTGTAAGTATATTCCCTACGGTATAATACAACATATCTTCTAAAAAGCTTAATTAGGTGAACTTATTTTTTAGCATTAAATTGGTACAATACAAAACTCACCACGCCTCGCCAACGTACTTATCTATTATATCCCATATTCGATATTCGCCTACTGTTTTGAATAACGATCACGGCTAATAAATAACAAAGGCAAACATCATCAAACCAAACAAAAGAAAGATGTAGCCAATAGTTACCCACCAATTGTATAATACCCCACGCACTTATCAACATGCAACAAATACCACAATACAATAACCCACTCATAACTGTATAACACCGAATTAAGACACTGTAAACTTAATTCGCAAACCTGAGTTTTATTTTACATAATAACATGACAACGTCTAAATTCTTTGATTTTGATAGATGTCATAATAAAGATAGTTATAGAAATAGGTTGTAGAAGGTAAAACCAATAAGGCGGGTCAGAGAATTATGACGTGGCCTACTGCCAAATTTTTTTCGCAGCGCCAATTCTTTTGATGGGTGCAATCTTTCTTTTCGGTTTTCCACAATCTGTGGGATTTTATGAAAAAAGACGGTTCGCTGTTCGATTTAACCAATGAACGAGCGCGGTGCTAGAGTGGGATATCAGATGCTACACATCACATGGGACTGTTAAAATTCTCGCATGTTTTTGCTTTCAATTGTGACCAGAGGACTTATGTACTTACAAATGGCTTACGCCTTGAAGCCTGAAGGCCACATTTAAGTTTTTTCCATTATAACAAAAGGCTACAGCGGTCCCTCCAAGAGACGGAAGACAACACAAACCGCTGTGTTCACTTAAGTTTACTTTGACATCATACTATATCTGGACGCCATTTGCACAATTTGAATTTAGATTATGTAGATAATCTAAATGTTTTATCCTTGAGTGACCTTCACTCGAACCGGCGAACAAGTCACCATGTCGACCTTGGGGATACCTATGTCCAGCAGTGGGTGTCTTTCGGATGAGATGATGATAAGATCCTAGTTTGTTTCAGCGTTTTTACAAAGCTACGTAGCCATCGAAAATTTTCAAGGTAGTTGTAGGCGATTCCTTTATTAATTTATATAAATCCGTTTCGTAGACAAGTGTCTAATTATTTGAAATAACTAACTCAAATCATATGGGTATGTAAATGCAACGTAAAATGTACTTATGGTTTTCGTTTTCGTGTCTTTAAGGTATCAATGTACGAAGGAATAAAGTTTTGGCAGAAAAGAAATGTTTCCAACAAAAGCTCTTGTGTCAGTCACTTTACTCTACATTACGTTGGACATGTCAGCCTATGTGTTGCAGATTTTTTCGTTGCCATCGCTCATCCCATGTTTAGGCTTCTTGTTAAATATATTTAACATGGGATGATAGAATATATCAACTGTGACAAATTACAGTAGATTTCTATATATGATTGTATTTTCATTTAAGTGTGTGGTGTCAATTTCCAATAGAATACAGTTGTTAGCACTTCTGATTACAGATTCTAAATTTTGTGATCTCAGCTTTTATTTCACTTACAATATCATTGGTCCAATAAAATAAGTAACAAATAGACTTTCTTATTTTCTTCCACAGTTTTTAATATTTTAAGGACAGTCTATTAGGTATAATATACAATGAAATATAATCCAATTAGACATAAGAATGTAAGGTATGAAAAACAAAAATACCAATGAACATCAATAAGTTTACTTCAAGAAAAACTAAGCATTATACAATGTACCTATAATAATAGATATATACTATGTACAATTTATAGCAGTAATTTATAGTATGCGTTCATAGCAGTTAGTACTTCAGCACATTTTTCTGTTTTACTGAACTTGATTTTATTAATGACTGGAATAGTTCACTCCTTTGTTACAACTCATTTTTCAGTAATGTGAAATAAATATTTTGATTACAATCTTAACATTTCAAAGTTTTTTAACAGATAAATAAGTAAAGCAATTAAAACATTATTAATTACTTATATAAACAATTTCCAGTATCCAATAATTACTTGAGTCATGTGATTCTAAAGATAGTCTGTAACACATTTTTTGACAACTCTATTCTTTGCTTATACCTTATTTAATTTTATGTACATAACTAACGTCTCCAATTTGAAAAGCATTAAGAAAATTAGTTATTACCACTGTATTATTACTCTCAAGTTTTAAAGGAGGTATGTTCTGATATTTTCACACTTGAGAGAATATTATAGACTCAAGAACTATTACAAATAAATTAAAAATGGAATGGAATTAACAGTAACAACATGTACCCCGTGTGTACCTACCATTATATTCATAATACCACTTTTACATACTAACTGAAGAACGGTTGTTCATCCAGAACTGATGTCCAGATATAACCAGTGTGATGACATACAGCAGAGCAGCGATCCAGCAGTTGTAAGCATTCTAAAATGAAAACAAAAATTTGAGCAAGTCTGAGAGAAAGACCTGTATATGGACATCACTACAATATCATATTCATTAATATAGGCAGGCGGTATATTTCTAATCTCTCTATTTCTATAAGTACCAAAAAGTCTCAACTAGGCTTAGGTCCTAATTAAGATTTAGTTTTCAACATTCATTTTTATACTCATATAATAAAGAATAGAACTTTTTTTTTAGAGTCCTATGTTTAGCAATGGATATTTTAACATTAGTAACTGTCCATTAATAACTGAATATAGCCTCTTTTTCAGTTGCTGTGACAGTTCAACAATATATTTCTTTTACAAAGGTGATGTTTCCAAATTAATAATAACTGGAATAGACTTATATGTTCCATTCCACTTGTTTAAAAATGAAAAAGAAACAAATGTGAAAAGACTCATAGGTAAGTTATTATTAAATCTTTTAAATAAAAGCCATGAAATTGTTTCTTTTCATATGAGGTGTTGTTAGAAGTCAAGGTAAATATTTTAAAATAAAATTATCTACAAGCTATACTGCTAAGTTATTAGAACTATTTTAAGAATGCTATAAAATTTTATGACGGCTTCATACAATTAGCTGTGGCATTTCTATTGCCTACAAAAAGCTAAATCACTTTACCTATATCCTATGCACCACTAATGATACCAATATTATATTACATAAGGACATTTTTATCAGATATTGTCGTAAAGGAGTAAAGTATGAAAATGAATCTAATTATGCATAATCTAACTTAACCTATCTGAAAGGTCTGTGTTCGGACAAGTGTAAAAGTCCTGATAAAAGCTGGATCATGAATAATTTTTTTTTATCTAATTGTTGCTCTTCGTGTTTTCCCTGAGGAAGGTGTAACGATAATATAATGTACATATTTTAGTAGAACTATGTGACTCACCGTAGTGTATCCAACTTCGACATCTTGGAGGAAATCTGTAATTGATTCGTGGTGTTCACCAAGAGGGAGATCTTCCAACAGAGCTACGGATCTGATCTGGTAGAAGACACCCATTAAGGTCTGAAAGATTGACAAACTGTTAACTCGGCAAGGCTCCTAAGACCTGATTACGAAGTGTAGTTATATACTCACCAACTGTATGATTCCCCAGACGCTCAATACGAGGCCGCACAGCGACAGTTTAGGGCCACAGAATTTACATGCCATTTTGTCCGTTTATTTATTAGAATTACGAACACTAATTTACTTTACTATCGACCACTAGCTGTCAGCTGGTGTCAAAAAAATGGTTTTCTCACATGATCTTTGTATCTGCATTGTCTATGGACGATGATTTTAAGTTGCATTATTCCTTTCACATTGTGTTAATAAAATATGTTATAAATAAAATCTAAACCTCCCAGAACTATAATTATATAGGATGAATTTACGGAATATTTATTTAATTAGTGATGTTGGTCGAATCAACTCTTTTGTGTATGCAAAATTTTTATTACGGTTCCTAAATTTTGTAAAAAGGAATGTTAATTAATGTTGTTAGATGTTGAACATAGAGTAGGAATGGTATATTATATACTTAACTCACAAAGGTTTTATTCTATTTTTATTATTATTAAATCGTTTTCTAATACAGTTATTTAATTTCATTGTGAAAATGTATCAACAAAACCCAAAAGAAACAAACTATAAAAAGAAAATCTTAAACTTTGGTAAGAATTACAATCTCAAAATAGCAACACAACAGACGATGCGATATTCTGTGCTGTGAGTGAATGACACATTTTCTCGGGCAGTAATAACGAGAAACGAGAAAATAAATTTCGATAATGGTGGATCGTTTAGGTACGCAAACAATTGTTTCATTATTGCTAAACCGAAAATTTATTCAAACAATTATGCTATCTTTCCCGTGCAATCATGAAGTAATTACGTGGGTGATCACTATCATTGTTTGCTTGCTCGCTCACTTTCCTTTGACGTCAAACTTTTGGACCGTAATGCAATTTTTAAGTAAGTAGATAATTTCCTCTTTTTCAGTGAACAGTGAGGCCAATGCCAGAAGAATCGCTATGGTTGAGAGTTGCTTCGGCAGCTCTGGACAGGTAAGTTTCTATTCTATGGCTTGAAAATAGATTTAGTTTCTAACTTTAGAAGTGTGATAAATGCCATCGTTATCAACCGACAAAGTTTGTACGATAAAAATCTTCAGTGCATTGGGGGAAATTAAATGTGGAAAGATGTGGGAAATTAAATGTGCCTATCATTGTTTTTCTTTTATTAACTAGAGCAAAGTATTAAATTTCATGCTATTTAACACACTCAGAATCGTAAATAGTTTAGTCAAATTTAATTGAATTACGTATAAGATATTTAAATAGATAGACTTACGAAAGTCTTTAAAATAAAAGAACTTTAACCAACCATTTTATATTGATATGTATTATTACAATATTGGTATCATCTCCTAAGTATATAAATGAGTTGTTTATCAGAAGTCTGCTTACAATAGTACAGGCAGGCAGATCTGAGAGTTAGAGATCAGTTATGTTGATTTAGGTAAGATATGAACTCAAGTTATTCTTATCAGTTTCTGTAGAAAAGAGAGGTTAAAAAAATCATAAGCACTCTGATAGTTATATGATCTAAAAAGATATGGTGCAGTAGATGTATCTACTTAGGAAGAGTAAATACAACATTAAAAAGCAGCAATGCAAAATTTTATTTTTTATAAGTTAAGAAATCATGACTTTCTAATTGTAAAAAATTAAAGCTTTATTATTAGAAATAAATTACCACTTATTCATTAAAAGTGTTTGGAGTTTTATAACAATGGATACTCTCTGTGCATTAGTAAAGTTTAAAACAAGGAATGTCTTACAGAATTAAATATGATCTAACAAGAGCATTAACCCTAATATATGTATACTCACATCTGTGTTATGCTTGGTAATATGTTATATGGATTAATGTAAGTAATGAATAAAATTTATAAAGAAAATATTGTACTTATAAAAGTAGTGATCTAATACTATGTATCTGAGATATTTGATAAATTAACAATAAGATAAAGAGAATATCTGATTTGATGTAAAAAAAAATGAGTACCCAGTCTAAATGAGGATAAGCAAAGTTCACTATTATAATGTTCTTGGAAAATAATCTTCCATAAGAATCTGACTTATACTTTAATTTTCTGTTTTTAGCCTTTGGCAGAACAAGGCAGGGTCCTTGTAGGAGAAGGTGTCCTAACAAAAATGTGCAGGAAAAAACCAAAAGCAAGACAGTTCTTTTTGTTCAATGACATCCTTGTCTATGGAAACATTGTTATAAACAAAAAAAAGTATAACAAACAACATGTTATTCCACTTGAAGAGGTCAAATTGGAATCCCTTAAGGATGATGGACGTAAGTTTAAAAAAAATACTATTTTAGGCTATATGATAATAATTTTGTATGAACAACACTTAGCATTCAGACATAAAGGTCAAAGACCTTTTAAAAGTGACCAGTATGAATTTTATTTCATAATAATATTACTTTTGTAATACAAACTAAGTATTATTTTTTTAGAAGTGTATGTATATTTTATGTTTGTGATGTTAGGTATGTATTACTTCGGTCTGGGTCATGTCAAAATAGACACCAAAACAGTATACATATGTGCTTGCTTTAAAGTAGGTCTCTGAAACTTAGCGGAGTGTATATTTGAAATTTTTGAACCTATATAAAATTTTAAAGCACATTGTGGTGTTATAAGAGTTCTGTATTAGAGGAATAGTCATGATGTGACTAGACTCTATAGACAAATACTGTTCTAACTTGCATGTTTGAGAGGTACCTAATGTAGGTGAAGTTGTGTACCCTCTAATGCTAAATATATAAGCCTATGTATATTGTCAATTTAAGGCATATGAATTTCTAATAATACTCTATCAAATATATAAATTGACAGCTCATTAATGTCAGTCAGTCACTCTAAAGGATAGAAAATTGTAATTGCATTTATTTTGTAAAATGTTATTGTAAATACTGAGTATGACTGGAGGAAATTTGTCCTCACAATTATCTACTGGTGGCTGTTAATGCCTATTTAAAACTGAAGCTTAAATTTAATTAATTATATATTTGTTTTCAGAGATGTAAAATATGTATTTAAAATAGATAATGAAACTAAAAATTATGATAAAACCAAAAAAATATTCTGCACTTGTTGGGTAACATACACATCATCATCAGCTTATGACAGTCTACTGCTGGACATAGGCCTCTCTTATTACATGCCACTTTGATTAATTTTTGTCTAAATAACATAATAAAACAATGAAATTTATCACTAATTACATTTTTTTACATGCATGCACATTCTTATAAGCAGACAGTTTGTAATACAACCAGCAACCCAACAGGGACAAAGGTCAAGGCTTAAATAAATCAATAAACTAATTCAATGTCAGCACAAATTCTCTGCTATTATCAAGAACATAATTAAGATTTACAAATCAATATTGATAATTCAAAAATTATTTAATAAATACTTAATAAATATCTATACTAATACTTAATAAACTATTTAATAAATATCTATACTTTGTGTTAATTTATATATATTTTATTGCATATATGACTCATTAAAGTGAATGCCCCTGTGAGTCAGCTACAGTATTCATTATTTATATATGGCAGTGATTGTTGAAACCTTATCTATGACTCAACTTACTTATGTTAATTACATTTTTGAAAATAGAATAATAGATTGTCACCTCTTGTCAATTTCATAATGTCCATCATCATTAACAGCCTTTAATAGTCCACTGCTGGACATAGGCCATTGAATAATATTTTATCATTAAGTTCAGATTAACTTCAGTGTTTCATTTATCTGCTGCCTACACAAATACATACACATTTATCTCTATGATTTTTTGAGTATCCGTAACACTGTTTTAAACATAAATTTTGTGCACTTCTGTGTGACAGTGTCTACATTTTCTTTACAGAATTCCGCAATGGCTGGTTAATTCGCACAGCATCAAAGTCGTTTGCTGTGTATGCTGCAACTGCCACAGAAAAAGAAGAATGGATGGCACATATAGACAAATGTATAGAAGATTTGCTAAGGAAAAGTAAGTATTTGAATCAAATTTTTGGTTCAATTTAATAATTAGTAAGTAAACATTATGAATGTACTTATCATAGAAAGTTTTGTGTAAGAATGGTATGATCATTACTGTTAGTCATGTATGTGCATATATAATTAAGATATCTTAAAATGTGTTTTAATTATAATGTGTATTAAAATGTTAATTCCAGCTAGTTTGTTAAGTTTAAATTGAAGTTCTTGTTTTGATTACTCTAGAGATTTATACTTATCACTTTTAGAAAATTAAATTTGATGTGGCAATGAATGGTGTTTACCAATGATTTCAACCTATTTCATTGTTGTTCAAAAATGCTATCAGGTCATAATAATTTGGAGAGTGATGTAAGAATATGATTGGTAAAACTAATTGTGAGGTGTTCCATATGGCTTACAAGTTAAGACCAGTCCTGTAGATTTTTTGATTACGACTGGGTTTTTTGAGGTATGCTCTTTAGTGCAGTGTAACTCTTGATGCAAATAAATTAAATCTGAATTTATTTAAACCTTTTTTTCAATGAATTAATGATACTTTTGCAATAAAAAATTATGAGTTCTAATGATTTGCTGAACTAAACTGAACTAATTTTTAATGCAAGGTGGCAAACAACCCCCGTCAGAACACGCGGCGGTGTGGGTACCAGACAACGAAGCTTCAACTTGCATGCACTGCAAGAAAACACAATTCACTGTTCTCAACAGGAGGGTGAGTTAAATTAGTTTGAAGTATTCGTTATTGATTGATGTATGTAATTGTATGTAGCAAAAAAGTCTTTCTAGATTGCATTTTTTTTTATTTAAAACGAAAATAGAAGATCATCTTATTTGGATAGTCTTGTCTAGTGATTGGTAGTGATCCTGACTGCTGAGGTCGATGTCGTGGGTTCGATTCCCAGGATAAATGACTGGCTGTAGGCACACAACGCCAACTGCCGCACTAGAGGTGGATCTTGGTAAGACCCCACTGGACGTGTTCATACAGCAGGAGGAGGAAATGGCGATCATTAGACTCACACCTTAAGACACCTGGGTCTGTCACACAAAGGCAAGATCACACTCCAAATGATGAAATCAATTAGTGGAATATGAACCATTAATAGCAGCTCCATGCGACAGGATCCCAAAACACCGTATCTTCACAAAGAGATACCACATTAAGACACAAGAAAATCACCGCGACCAATCTGGTATAAACGAAGTTTGAATTTATACAGATGGTTCCAAGACTGGGTCAGGAACGGGAGCCGGAGTTTTCTCACAAGACCGAAACATGAACATATCAATAGCGTTAGGCCAACAGTTCCATATTCTAATGCGAATGTGTGGCAATAACTTACGCCGCCACAACGGTCCTATCAAAGGGCATTAAGGACTATAACATCCAAGTACTCTCAGACAACATGGCCGTCCTAAAGGCACTGGAGGGCAACACAATGACCTCTGGTATTGTCTTTGAATGCCATCAAGCATTGGAGCAGCTTGCCACAGAAAATGGGTACTCCTCCAATGGATTAAAGGGTACAGTAATTCAAACGGGAACGACGCCGCAGATGAGCGGGCATGGAGGGGCTCGGCAACCCCGGCCTTCAACTAACTTCGATCTTAGGCTAGACAGCGTACTCGTGAAGCGCACAACCGAAGGTGGAAAAATTTACCCGTCTGCAGACAGTACAAACTGGTGCTGACTGAAGTCTCACCACAACTTACTTGCAGACTGATCGGTCTTAGCAGACTAGATATCCGAATAGTTGTAGGAACCATAACAGGACACTTAGCCCTGAACGGACAACTATTCACCATTAATGCGACGAACAGCCCTCTTTGCAGTGAATGCCTTAAAGCTGAAAAAACGGCTGCCCACGTAATCCTGGAATGCAAGGGAGTGGCCACACAACGAGCAAGTACCATACCTGGTACAAAACCGGTCCTAGAAGCCAGTGAACTTCCCAGGAGTCTTCTGCGCTTCTGGAAGGAGCATGTTTGACTTACCCCGCCAACCTCTCCTAGACGCAAAAAAAAACACTCGAGTCTAAATACGGCAATCGGAGCCCACAACCAATACCCAGGATAAATGATTGTGTGATCAATATGATGATATGGTCTGTATCTGAGTGGAAATAATATATTCATATTTAAAATAAACGTATTTAGAAATATATAGCATAGAAGACCAATTCTCGTAGTAAAAGTTCGGTCTCAATTTGAATCATAAAAGATAATTTCGCAATAAAGTATTAAATATCTAACGTTGTTATGCGATTATATCGCATTCTAACCGAAAATAAAATGGTTACTCTGCTAGTCTTAGTAATGTTTTACTACGAAAATACTTTTTATGACAGTTGTGAGATCGAGAGTTGATCGGAACTAATTTGGGACCTAACTTTTATTACGAGAATTGACCTTCTGGTAGCGCATAGTATCAACTAAGGTTATTCCCTGTGATGTTAATTATGTTCAACTCAATATCTCTCGTCTGCTACGAGGGCGGGTCAATAAGTCCGTGACTTTTGGAATAAAACACAGATTTTTTGATAAATAAATCATTTTATTTTTCAACGGAGTCTCCCTTGAGCTCTATACACTTTGTCCAACGCTTCTCCAATTTTTTTTATCCCTTCCAAAAAATATTATTTGTCGAGGTCCTCAAAATAGGCCTTTGTTTGCGAGATGACTTCATCATTGGAGTCAAATCTTTTTCCACCAAGCCATTTCTTCATTTTTGGGAACAAGAAGTAGTCACTCGGAGCCAAATCTGGAGAATAGGGCGGATGAGGGAGCAATTCATAGCCCAATTCATGGATTTTTGCCATGGCAACTGCACATGTGTGCACCCTTGCATTGTCTTGGTTGAAAAGAACTTTTTTCTTGGCCAAATGAGGTCGGTTTTTTTTCAAATCGTCGTTGAATCGGTCCAATAAGTTGGCATAATATTCCCCATTGATTGTTCTTCCCTTTTGAAGGTAGTCAATGTGGATTATCCCGCGTGCATCTCAAAAGACAGTCGCCATAACTTTATTGGCTGACAAACCCACCTTGGCCTTCTTTGGCGCCGATTCACCCTTAGAAACCCACTGTTTTGACTGTTGTTTGGTCTCTGGTGTGTTGTGATGGATCCATGTTTCGTCCACGGTTACAAAATGGCGCAAAAACTCCTCCATATTGCGATTAAACAACGCCAAACCTTCCTGTGAAGTTGTTACACGATTGCGTTTGTGGTCGACTGTGAGCAATCCCTGTACCCATCTTGCGGAAAGCTTTCTCATGCCCAAGTGATCATTCAAAATTGAAACCACTGAGCCATGCGAGATCCCTACGGCTTCCACAATCTCTTGCACTTTCAATCTTCGGTCGGCCAACACCATATCGTGAATTTTTTCGATTGTTTCGGGTGAAGAGACCTCAACTGGGCGTCCAGGACGTTCGGCATTCAGGCCACAACGAAATTCAGTAAACCACTTTTTTACCATTGAAATCGATGGTGCAGAGTCCCCATAGTATTTATCAAGCTTAGCCTTGGTCTCGGTAATGGTTTTTTTTTCGCAAAAAATAATGCTTAATAAGCACACGAAATTCACTTTTTTCCATTTTTTCCTCAAATTACTGGGAAGTCTGATAAAGATAGCTGTCAAACACAAACTAACTGACGCAGCAAGTTCAAATTTTTACAGGAGTCAACTAACAGATGCCTGTTGACAGGAGGAGTTTTGTTTTGTCAGTAAAGAGGTCAGAAATTCAAAAATCGCCCTCGTATCTCTGTTTTATATAGATGTATGAGTTTAACGTAGTTTTAATATTTCTCGGAGTGATATGTGGTTAACTATATTTCCTCGTATATAAGTGCGCATAAAGTGCATTCAGGTAAAAATAAAGCCTTTCGAAATAAAGTCTTCAAGATCAATTTTTGTGCCGAGTTGTTCTATGATTTTCGTCTATTACTCTTACGTAGGCATTAGAGTATTCGTACTATAACACTAGCAACAATATCGCAATGTGATTTAAGAAAATAAAATCAAGATACCAGGATATGTGTATATACACTGTAGTTATTGAGTGTCACTTAAGATGAGTAAAAAAGCACAAGCCTCTGTATATAACCTTGGCCAAATAAATACATTACTCTTTTTGAGGGATTAAATAAATTGCCTCACGTAGCATCAAAGAACGTTAAGTATTCAACGCTCTGATAAATTTAACAAAATTTGTGTGACAACACTGTCCTTTTGAAAAATATTTGGAGAACAATTCCTTACCATATTCATGTTTTGAACGGCATGACATACTATACATAAATATATATATATAGTACTATATAATGACTTTATAATTTAGTTTCTTACCTACAGTGCGACTCGCTGACTATCACAAATAAACATTATTTATTTAATGATTTCGTGTATTTGTTGTGTCATGCTATGCGAGATAAAGTAAATGTTCGATTAAATATGTGTAAACTCTATTGCTTATCCTGGCGGTTAAACTTCACTAATGCTCTTTATCAGATAAAGGGAATATTAAAAAGTTCTGTTATTTCAAATGAAACGTTTCAAGTCATCATATGGCACTACTACTTTACACAACATTTGTAGGTACCTAATGTGATGCGGGGAGGAAATAGAGGAAATTTGTCTTTGAAATTTGAAATTTACACATATTTTTATTAATATATGTGTGTGTGTATATTTATGTATAAAAAAAACAAAAAAGATTGGCAATATTATGTATAGTATTAGTTTTAAAAATAATAATAAAATAATTGTTTTGTGCACCAACATTCTTGAACTCACAGCTGTATAGAAAGTATTTAATCTACCCTACTCACAAAAAACTTTTCACAACTACCTTACTAACTAACTACGCTAATTATGTAATATATTTTTGTTTAGTATTGTATTTTTCTCTGCAAGTGATCAATTGTAATCTTTTGAGAAAAATAAATGTCTTTAACCGTAAATATTCTTGTGTTCATATTACAGGACAACACTGCAGGATATATGTAAAACCGAGTTTAAATAGGATTTAAAATATTTATTTCGAGAAACCAAATTATAAAAAGTAAATGTCATTTACTGAAGTAAAATGTTTGTTTCCAGCATCACTGCCGCAAGTGCGGGTCCGTGGTGTGCGGGCCGTGCTCTTCCAAGCGCTACCTGCTGCGCGGACAGAGCGACAAGCCGCTGCGCGTGTGCCTGCAGTGCTTCGACGAGCTCAACCGCGAGCGCGCGCGCCCCCAGGCGCAGGCGCCGCCCGCCACCACGCCGCCCGGTACTCTCACTAACATACGTCAAACACTTCTATATGTTTAGCATCCCAGAACACGGTTTTCGTCCGACTTCTTAAACTATAATAAATAAATTCTTCCTTGCATCTTCTTTTTCCATGCTTGTTGTCTTTGTCACGCCTGTGACTAAGAATTATACAAGAAGAAAAAATCTAAAACATCTTTATGAGCATAATAAATGTTGCGGTCCGCCTTACGACCGTTATAACTAACTAGCTGACCCGCGCAACTTCGTCTGCGTCTCTCAATAGTAATAAATTTTCTCCGTTTTTGAAACATTCTTCATTGGTGCTCCGCTCCTATTGGTGGATATATAGCCTATAGCCTTCCTCGATAAATGGGCTATCTAACACTGAAAGAATTTTTCAAATCGGACCAATAGTTCCTGAGATTAGCGCGTTCAAACAAACAAACAAACTGTTCAGCTTTATAATATTAGTATAGATAATAATCTGTTTATATCCATTTTTTGATCAATGTTTCTGATAAAAATAGAACACAATAAAATAAATTAATACAATTAATATAATTACACTATTATTGTATTGATATTAAATAAAAATATATATCTATCTATTAATTTATAGTGAAAGCAGATGCTTCGGGCTCCGGCGGTGATTCGTCAGCTGACGAAGACAGTGACGATGAGGGTGTAACCGCTGAAGAGAACCACGACGAGGTGAGAACAAATAACATTATTAATATAACAGTACAATTATTATAAATAACGTTAAAAAAATCATTCATACAAATCAACGTCTAAGATCCCTTTTCCCCGATATAATCTATTTCTTGTGTAGGCCGCGCCTTTTCAACAGAAACATTTTTTGCATGCAAGTGCAACAGCACTTGCATGCAAAAAATGAACTACAGGACTATTTGTGAACTAGTTTCCTTCACACGTCAATTATTATTATTATTTTAAAAGGCTTACTAGCAATCGAAATTACTAGTATTTCAATTGATCTCATTACTGCTTTACTTAAAGTATCTATTAAAGTAAATCTTAATAAAACGTTATGTTAAGTTTTATATAAGGAATAAATATAGACAAAACATTCGTAGATAACAATTACAAATGAAGTTGACAGAGTTGAGTTGCGTTAATAATTCATCCAAGATCACATTTTTCTGTGAATAAAATTAAGGTTAAGATCAGATAAAAAATTCAGAATTTAAGTTAAGGGTTCACGAATGAAACATGTTTCTGTTTGTTGTCCACATTTAATGGTTATATATGGACAGACTTTACTGCCACTTTCACCCCCACTTGCTAAATTATTTTGAAACTGTAGAATAATTTGTTTGTTCCATTTTATATAAAATTTATAATTATTATAAAATAAAAATATTGATGATTTACTACTAGTCCAGAAAATAAAGAAAAAGCTAGTCTCTGTTAAGGTGCGTAATACTACGTGTAAATGACGTCACGTTTTGAGTTTGTTATAGAAACGACGGCAGTGACATTCATTCTTACAAATTGATGTTACAACGTTTCTGTACATATTTAGGGTTACAATTATATACAGTTATTTACAAAAATACAGCATGGACCCTTAGTTATAATGACAAATTACTGGCTACATATATGAAGTAGGTAACACTTTTACTGGGTTAGATTAACTAAAGTATATGATCATGAAAGACCCTTCTCAAAAGTAATCATTTGTACACTCGTGTATGTATTTTGGTTCGCTGTTTGTTGTTTATTATACATTCTACGAAATAGTATTACAATACAATATCTTATTCAGGTACAACGCACTTAATTAATCGAATATTAATAATATAAAGCCGTTATGGCTTTAATAAACTAACTTGAGTTTTATTGATAGGTGTATTTGTACATCGCACTCACACACACACACACAGAAACTCATAGTGTGCAGAAGAAATATTGTGATATTTTGACGCATAAGTAAATTAATAACAAGCAAAAATAAATAAATTTAAAAGTAAAACAAACTAAAAACTTCATTTAACGTGTAACGACCTTACGACTAAACTAAATGAACCGAATAATTCGACCCTTGGGCTCTTACAAAAACAACAATAAAACTTCTCTGTCAGTTGTTGTTTCATTCCTTTAGCTTTCTTCAATCGATTCATACAACCTTAACTGTTAAATATCCGGTTTTATTTATATTTTTGCGATTGTTGCGTCTGTTGTTGTAATGTGTTGCTTTACGCTCTTTGTCCGACACGAATTCAGGAATACATAAGATAATACGAGGGAGACAAAGTCCTATCTGTGGAACCCGTTGTCAACTAAATAGTTCCGTATCATAATAACTAATTATATGTGTCCAAAGTATATTACGATGTAAGGACTGCACAAAACTTTAAATTGTATTATTAGAATCGGACAGTACATAGCACCTATTAACAGGTTTTATAACGATTTGAGCCAAAGGGTTCAATCCCTATGTTTGGTATATAATAGAAATAGAAGATAATTTGAACAAAGTTTTTCATCATAAATCCTTGAAATACAAACATTGTTTATTTCTAGGGATTTACAAGTTATAATGGTGTCAAAAACGGATATGGAAATAAAGTCACCACAGTATAGTACAAACTGAATTGTGTAAGTTTAAACATTGCTAGAGGCCATCAATCATGCTTTTAAAAGTATTGATATTTTTATTCGATGTGTTGTTTTTTTTTCCACAATTCATTATATACTTACCATTTCTCATCAGATTTATGGTTAACGAAGGAAAAGTATGCTACGTTTTTTCTGCCATAGTTAATATTATTAAATAAAACTGCATTTTCCAGAATTGGATTTTTTGTGTATTACGTTATGTAGACTGAAAGTTTCTTGACATCATTACCAGTACAACAGAGTATTTAAAAAAAAAAGTGTAATGATAGAAGAATGTCAAAATACAATTTGTAACGTTGATTAAAATTTATGACTTATCAATTGATTTAAAATAGGCACCTAATTAATCACCTGGTATACGGATTTTTTAAATGCCAAATACATATGTGGTAATCAAACCTTAAAATTAATTACTTTACCAGGTATCTTTGCCATTTGTGTTCTTTATAAATAATTTCATAACCGCTTCTTTTCCTGTAGTCGATTCTTGTAGATCCATTATTTTAAAATGCGAAATGTGAAATCATTGTTGACATGTTAATTTAAAATAATTTACAAATTGTATTTGACGATCCTATTCAGCCCTAATGTAAACTAACACTAAACAAAATTCTTGGTTTAAGAAATTTACCTGATTTATTTTTGACAAATCATTACTATGCATTTTTGTGCTGTTTGAGTTTTGGTATTTTCGTTTTAAGGCTGGTGTTTGCGAAACATGTCTAATTCTAAAGTTATTTCTTAATTCGCTAATTAAAATTAACTACAAACCATTCTGGTTGTGGCTTCTGTGCGTTGTTTTCATTGTGCAAGAGAAAATATTTGTGTATTGTTTAAAAAAACACACACACTTGGTATTACAAAAAATAATAATTTAGAACAGGACACATCAGAATATCAGCTTGAACGTTTTTAACATTAGTGACAATAGACTTTCACTAAATTCGTTTGTGGTGTTAGTTTTTGTTTTCATACATATTTTAGTTACTTTATTATTGCTTTGTTTAAAAGGTGCATTCGGTTAATATTTCAGAAGGCGGATAATTACGATAGTCACTCAGTTCTATCAAACCCGTTAAGATTTTAAGGTATCGCAGCAGCTTTCGTGCAACTCGCTACTTACCTTCGGCTAATCCTGGGTATAGCAGCCACATAGTGTACCCTGCCTTAATTTTCTGTTTTTCCGTTCGATTGCTAAATCAAAAAAAAAAAGAACAAAAAAAAAACAGATGTAGCCATTCCAGCGTAATTGACGAGTTTTAATATCAATCGAATTTTAGTACTTATCGGAGAACTTAAACATGGCGAGATTTTTATTTAGTACAAATGTATGTCAAATACGTGCACGATTTTTATACGTTAGTCACGATAAATCCTTTTTTTTTCAAGCAACAAAAAATTATCAAATATGATATTTTCTTTATTTATGTTATAGATTAAATAGTTATTTCAATTTTTATACATATACATATCATGTCCCTTAAAGCCCCCAACTCTTCACAAATAATAATTATCCGAATGCCCTTTATAACATTTTTTTCAAATGTGTACAGCAGTTGAAAAGTTTATTTTAAATGATGAATACATAACATCATTTAAAATAAACTTTCAACTTTTGATTTAATGTAAAAAAAAGAATATGTAAGCCACTCTAAAAGCGACCCTCAACTTACCCATAGGATCGTTGGAAGACCGAGAGTTGATATTAAACTTTTTCGTACTTGGTGTACAGGTCTTGTGTTTATAACATATAAAATTGATAATTGTATAATTTACTTTACAGCCAAAGTTCTACGGTGACAGCGAAAAGACTGAAGAGACCAACAATCATTCGTCCAAGGATTCCGCAAAGTGAAAAACTTAATGAAGAGACCACTGTCCATCACAAGATTTAAACAATTTGTATACATTGTATAGTAACGTTTATCTGGGACTGGCTAAATACTGTCATGCATGCATTCATTTTTTTGGTAAATCTTATGAAACTTGTAATTACTCACACTCTCAAGGGATCAATTTTTTTATTATTAGATTTGTCAATGCTGTGACGTTACTTCAAATTTCTTATAAAGAAAGTGGATGCATGCAGTCTCGATTTATACTGTTCCGTTAGCCGCAATATAGGACCCATTTTTTTACCATGGACGGTCTCCAAGAGTTTACCACAATGGCCTTCAAAAATTTCTTACATTAGGGAGAGAGTGCTAGATAAATGTCATATATAGTGGACTTATTTAGTGAATCGCGTAATATTTTATACAAATCAAGTACCTCGGCGCCGCAGCCGTGTTTGTAAAATATGATTTTGATAACGAGTAACTGAAATACGCTGGATATCTAACAGCTTTAAACCGCTCAAAAGTAAACTGAGATGGCGTTTCTGTTTAGGGTTTCAATCATATTTATTGTTTGATAATAAGACATCATGGTCATAAGACGTTTTAACAATATTTAGGTTTAGTCATGTTATGTCAATATATTAATATTTTACATACGTTAGTTTATTTTATTATAAACTTTTATAAACGTTTATAGTTGCTATTTCGATCGTTTCCGTCGTGACCGAAAGAGGAGGAGAGGCAGGGTAAATTGGGACTGTCGCCGTATTGATAGCAGCTATATTTTAAATAAATAATGCCGAGAATGCAAAGTAAGGTGCTCGTAATTATAATTCATAACGAATCGCTAAAGCACTTCATAACAGTTATACGCACACGCCAACGCAAGTGACACTCGACGCCACCGCGCACCGCCACTAGGCACCGCTGTATATATAGGATACTATATCTAAATCATACTTACATAATTATTGCTTGTTAACAGCATACATACTAAATAAATGATATCAAAACCAATTATTGATCTGTTGTAAACGTTTTCCATAATTATGCAGCATCTACATTAAATCATTATTTCTTCCTTATCTATCTCGAACACTATAAAATTTCGAATAGTTTGCTACTCTTCTGTCAAAAATATCGGTCAGAAAACATAGCGATTAATAAAATATGGGTAATATGTTATAAAAGCGTCTTGGAAATGTAATATGTTAAAAAATATAAATGCGTTTTGTTTGAGGATTGTCAATTATTTTCCAACTATTGATTGAAGAAACAAAATTTTTAAATGAGCTAAATTTACAAACAAATTTAGCTTATTTCACAAATTTTGTAGTCACCTTATAACCAGGAATGACGTTGTTACAGTAATTTCTGTAACCATGACTTTGCTGTGTTGAAACAAATAAGAAATGACTACACTATCAATTAGTAATCCTTGTAACATTTAAAAGATTAAACCAATTTCGTCACCAGTCTTATTATAATTGGAATGCAAAATTTTCACAACAGACGTGATTTAACCAATAAGACTTGTAAAAATATCAAATTAAACCATTCTTTTTTACTTATCAGATCTCAATCCAGAAAAAGCATTTTGACATAAGGAAAAAAAACAAGCCATTTTTTTTTTCAAATGGTTTTATACCAGACTGAAAAAAACTATTTATCGGCTATACAATATAAGGGTCCTAAAAGGCAACAACCTTCTGTTAACTCAAGTACCGAAATATGCTTTTAAGCCGTAAGAGTTTATCCATAATCTGATTTGACTACAAGCATAGTCGTAATTGATTTTAATGTAGTAAATGTTCAGCAATGAAAATGATATATAACAATGAAATATTATTAATATTTTAGAATAAACCCATTCGTAACATTAGTCAATATTTTTGTTTAAAACCGTTAAAATGAGTTTAAACATATGCGTATAAATTGGCGTATAAAAAATATAATTTAGGTACAAGAAATTGTAGTAAAATCGATTTTTATATAAGTAAGTATGTAACATTTGCGGCGTTTATATATCACTTCCTCTGCGAGAACCTCAAAAACACCAATTTGTAATACAATTTTCTTTGGTTGATGACATTTGTTAAAGACATCGTATTGTGACAGTACTACGATTTAGTCTTCAAAAACGAACATTACTGCTATTACATTTCTGAGTAGCATCACATATTATTTTTATAGAAATCAAATTAATTATAGATTTTGTATGTATATTCGATTCTTAGATATTAAGAGGTGCATTAAGTTTGTTTCGTTGGAAACGCGGTTATGTTTAAGGTGTATTTAATACGAAGCTTGCAACAACATCTAATGTATGTAGAACATTCGTAAAGAAATTATTTATTAATTAAACATAGGCCTAGTTGTTAACGATTTACACAAGTTGTGTTAATTCCCTTACGGTAAGTGAAAATTATGTTAATAAGATATTGTTTAATTTTCAGTTGACAAATATAATATTTTTTAAAGTTATCGTTTATTTTCACTCCCTAATAAAATTAAATATTAAAATTATTGAATTGGCAGGCAAACAATATCAAAGGTAGAAAACATGATATGCTTAGCTGCTAACTCAGAGCATCTAACGTCCCCTTTCCCGTCAAATCATGATAATACGCTGACTGAAACTTGATCGCTCTGTGACCGAAACTGAATAGTAATAAATCTCAATATCGATGAGATGAGTATCAAAGGGCTCGTGGCTAAGTGGCAACGGAGTAGGTTAACACATTATAAAGTTAAGCAATCCGAAGCTGGTCAATCTATGGATGGGTGACGATTCTTAATACATTGAGATTTCCCCGTGTCTTGGAGAGTACGTCAAGCCGTCGGTCCCGGTTGCAATACAAACAGTCGTTGCGGAGAGAGAGTCCTAAAGAGTCGCACAACAGTCCTCTACAGGACTTCGATATCGCCTAGTAAGTAGTTGGAAATGTTCATTCAAATACGTTTTTGGTCTAACGTGAGCAAACACCCAAGGCGCGGACAGCTTTCTCATGTCTAAATATTGATTTAATATGTGACAAACACTTGCTTTTGACATGTTCATATCTCTCTCCTTTTAGTTCGGCGGTCGTCTAGCACCATTTGGTGACCTTTGGCGATGTTTTCGTCGGTAGTTGGAGTTTTTGGACGTCCCTAACGTTCATCGTCTCCCAAGTTCTTACGGCCGCGTTTAAATTCAGCTGCCCAAATTTCACTGTGGTAAATGATAGTGCAGTCTTCATACACAGAATCCAACTCATCTTTGATTTGCGTAGGCGTATTGCCTTTCAAAAACAAATATTTAATGAAAGCTCGATACTCCATTGTCCATTTTCATAAAAAATACTCACATCAACCCACTCAAACGACTATTACATAACAATGGCTGAGCCGAGAGCCGCTGAGCTTTGGCGAGTAACTGTCAACAGATGAACAACGAAATTCACTAGCTTTTATTCACGAGTGCCCTAGTAGTGCCTTATTCTCCCTAGTACAGTCACTAAGTACTTGCATTGTTGCAATTCGTTTATGAGGTCATAGACATCGGACTGCTGTTGAAGCAATCTTGTAATTTTACCGCGATCCCGCGCGCCCAAAAAATCGCAAGGGTGGTTATGTCGGACTCGACCAACAACCGCAAACCGTCTCGGGTACCAGTTGCTGGAGAAAGGAAATCCCTGGTACCCCGACGTACTAGGTAGTGCCCTTACGCTTCGCTTGGCTCGTCTTGGCGACGCGGCAGATATATTTGATGTAACAAAAATAAAAGTACTGTAATGTTATCTACACATTTATTCGCAAATGACAATTATAGATAAATGATACACTGATGATCATTTGCTACTACTGATATTATGCAATTGTTATCTTATGCTGTGTGCAACCTGCTTGAAAATTACATATGTAATGAACTAATTTCATTGTTATGAAAGCTTCCATTTTATATATTCCATTCGATTGTTAATAAAACAAAACAATATATGTATTGATTATCTTATCAATACATATATTGATAAGATAATCTTATTTTATTATCTTTGTTTAAATACAGCTACATATTTATTTACTAAATTTGGAGTTTTACTCTTATAATATAATAATAAGTTTCTTGAAAATTCTTTTATACCTGGGGTAATAGAAATTTCTAACAAATTCTAAGTAAATTATCCATACGGACAATTTATGTCTTAAATTCTACAAAATTCAGATTAGGTTGTATTAGCAGCGAGTTCGAACCATTGCCTCATAGCGTCTCCTAGTACTGAAGGTAGTGCAGACATGTCTCGTAATATAAGGTAGAAGGGGAACGGGAATGTATCCAAGTATGATTCAAAGCGCACGAATGAGTTCGACTCGGGGTCCATCACCGGCCGCCTGATGTCCATTATCGAGTCCTGCAAAATTAAATGATATCAATGACATAATCACGTGAGCGTTTTGAGAATAGTAAATATAATTAAAGGTTGATTTGAATAACATTTATAATAATATTTTTGGACAAATATGGACACATCATCACATATCCATCCAGCACATACACACCCATCCTTGATATATATATATATTTGTATTGGGGCTTTGGTATACCAGTGATTATCATCGGGTTTACAGACTAGCAGATAGCAATATTGAAACATGAAACTATTAGTCTCATGTTTCTATATTGCTATTCACGATTACGAAAGATATGACCTTGTCACATGGCACCTTAATAGACCTACAGGGTTGCATAGCATGCTCCATGAAATATTTATTATAAGGTAGGTAACTAAGTACCTTATTGTCAGGATTGTCAATGATAACGTAGACCAAGAATATTCCTTGCTGTCTCGCTCTTCTCACCGCCTGTAGTACTGTTGTCTCTCCTTCACTAAATATTCCCCTGCCGTCACTCACAATTATCAGCAGCTTTGCATTAGGGGCGTCACTTCTCATTGTTTGTTCTTCAAACATAATGGTACTAAAATCTAGCAATTGAGCAATTTTCGTTTTCGTCTGTTCAAAGCGGAGCTGTTCTAGAATCCTTGATCCAGAATGTTCAGTGAATTGTTCGGTGAATGGATGAAGCAAATTCGGCTTTTCTCCAAAACTGAGTACGGCTAGATCCCCAGATTCCAACAGGTTTAACGCCTGTAATATAAACATTTATTTAGGTAGAGGAGTTTATAGAATTTCGTTTTAACTGGTCGCGTTGATCGATTTATGGTATCTCGTTTTTTTACACAAGTCTACAGGTCAATTTTAACTAATTACGGGAACGAGTAACAGTTACGAATACGATACATAACGTAACGTTTTTACCTGAGAAACAAGTGCAAGACTCTCAAACGCCAACTCCTTGCTTCTGTTATCGGACATAGAGCTAGAATCGTCCACCGCTATTGCAATCTTATACTCGCGCTTGGCGGGCTTCGTGCGGCGGAGCCAGATGCGGTCCTTACGGAAGTGAGACGCGATGTACGGAATGATTCGACGCATATTGATAGCGCGACCCGTCCTGAAGTCACCTGAAAACGTATCTCGCGATATGAGAAATAAACACTCACGAATAATCCGAAATTATTATTATATTAACTTTCCAACATCGATTCCCCGCCGGGCGTCTAGCCCGGTCGGACGATCGTTCTCCGTGTCGGAGGATAACACCCGTCACTCCGCATAAGTGATGACTTTAATCGGCGGTGTTAATCGATATACATATACTATTACTCCTCTTCAGCGTGACTCACACGAAAAATATAACCTATACGAGACTAGGAAGTCGGGCATTCAATAAGGAGGTACGGGAGAGTCGCAAAGCACGTACCGGCTCTCCTGGAGCGCGCGGTGGGCTCGAGCACGAGGCGCAGTCGCTCGCACAGCGCACGCGCCGCGCCCGCCGCGTCGCGCCACAGCGCGCCCCACACGCGCGCCGGCTCGCCCGCGCCGCGCACGGGCCGGCTCAGCCACTCGCGGATACACATGTACGTGTCTAGCGTCATCGCCTCCGTCTCCACGCGTCTATCGTTCGAGCTGGAATATAAAAATTGACCTATCAGCCTTATCGAAGACGTTGAAACGCTTTAAAGAGTACAAACGTCAAATAGTATCTCGACGAGAACGTATTTAATGCTTCAAAATGTAAAGCCGAAACTCGTTCGAAATTAGTATACGCCGATCGGGCACTTTAACGATAAGTATTCTATTATTTTTTTACACAATACGTTACTAGAAAACTGATCCGGTAAGCGTAAGATACCAATTTAATATGCCAATATCTACCCGGCAAAAATCCCAATGACGAATGTAAGTAAAACATATCATCATTATCGCATAGTTAACCACCCCTCCCCTCCCCCCCCCCCAACTAAAGACCAAGAAGATTATCGCAGTCTTCGTTACATATATAAAATATTTACCCGGTGTGGTATGAAGACTCAGTGCCTCTAGGAACATGCGCGGTAATTACATTTTCTCCTTCCACTTCCATAACAGTCTCTCCTGTTGGCTCTTCTCCCGTCTCTTTCTTATTACCCGCCTTCTCTTTCTCTTTTTCTGCCCCGTCCTTCATTTTCTCTGGCTTTATTTCTTCAGTTTTCTGGATCTGTTTTTAAGTAATTTAAATTTTGAGTACTAAATCGTGACTTACAGCTAATGATTATGTGAGAGGACTTTCCAACAATAGATGATTGTCGTTTCCTTCTCGCCTATATTTTATTTTCCGTAATCCGGTTGCCAGCAATTGACTTCAATCCTATTACGTGAGTGGTACAAAATTGTAGTTGGCAAAAGTATAAGAAATGTACAAGGATGGATTTAATGTCAAGGTGTATCGAACTTTTATTGTTACCTCTATGTCTTGCTCATCCACATCCATAGGAACTTGTTCATCCTCCTTAAGAGTTTCAGCCTCTTCATCTTCTTGTTGTAGTGTTGGTTGCTGATCAGCTTGTTCTTTTGTTGCTGCGTCTACTGCCTGTTAAAAATAAAAATATATGATTTTTAATTGGCGGTAAATTTACTAATCATGACCCACGATAGAAATTTATGAAATTATTGCTAAAAATTTAAACTTCTTTGAAGTAGAGTTTTGACTTTATAAATAATTTTAGGAACTGTCTCCTTTTCATTGATCGTTAAAACGATATGTCCTAACTTTTTCTAAAAGATGATATACCAGATTAGCTGGTATACAAACTACAGCAATGAGCATTCTCTACCTGAAGATCATCCTTTTTGGCTTCTTTTACATGTTGATAAGCGTCCGCTTCCTTTTCAGCGTCCTCATCGTTATCAGCACCTTCCTCCATCTCATTTTCTTTTTCAACACTTAGTGTTTGGGCTTGCTTGCGTTTCTTCTCATTGACGTCACCTGACGATTTTGATTTATATTAATTTTGCAGTACAACACTGTTGTCAAAGCATTATATTTTTTTATTTACATTACATTAGCAAAAAAACATATATACGGTCGAATTGAGTAACCTCCTCCTTTTTTGAAGTCGGTTAAAAAAGGGACCTGAATATTTGTCTGATTTTTTTTTGAACATTGAAATCGGTTAATACAAAAACCTCGTCCTTTTTGAAGTCGTTAAAAAACACATTACAAATTATGAAGAACTTACCCAAGGTTCGTTCATGGTCAGTGTCAGCAGGCTTGTTCTCTCGTTTTTTCCGCTTGTCGTGTGAGCGTTCAGCGCGGCTCGCAGCTTGTTTCTCACCGCGATGACCCTTATCACTCTTATCTAATTCTGATCTACCCATTGATTGCTTTTCTTCCCCAACTTGTTCTTGAGTTTGTTCCTGTTCGAGGTTTGGATAACGTAAGTAAAAAAATTGGATTTCAAAAAAACACATTTTAAATTGTTTCGTTTTTGTAATAGTAATCATAAAATATGATTGTACACCGGCAGACTACGCACTCTCTAATATAAATGTGAGAAAAAGAAGAAAGGATTGATTGTAACTTCATTAAAGAACTGTTAGTAGCAAGCATTACACACATACATGATATACAGCAAATACAACTAGTCACATATTTCGTGCCGTGGCGTAGAATCGATAGTACATGCTATGGCTATTTCGCGTATCCTCATTATAATAACATTTAAAAAAAAAAATTAACAGTACAACCTATGTTTTGTCATTGGGTGGAATAACGACATTCGCGACTTCATACTCAGAAGTGTAGGCAAAACGAATGTGTTGGTATGCATAATATTTAAGCAAGCTTAACATTTCAATAGTATTTGAGAAAGTGTAAACCGTCCCCGAAAGACCAGCCATCCCACAAAACACTAAAATATATACATGATAGACTCACACTAGCAGCGGCTTCTTCATCTTTCTGCTGTTCAGCATTAGTCTCAACGTTATCATCGGTGCCTCTGGCCATTTCAGCTTTCTCTGCCCTTTCTTCTGCAGTTGGATCATTATTAGATGGATTTGCTTGTGGATTTGCTTCGTGATCCTTTTGTTCCACTTCATCTTCTTCGTTTATATTCTCTGGATTCTTTGGCAATTCCTCTTTCTCCTCATTCTCTACAGTTTCTGATTCTTCTGGTTGTTCTTTTTCTTCTGGATTTTGTTTTTCTCCACCTTCTGTATCTTGATCTTCAATGCCTTCTGTAGTATCTGGTTTATCGGAGTCATTTTCTTCACTCTGGTAAAGACAAATATTCATGACGGGTAGCAAAAACACATTGGTGAAGATAGAAATATGATTTTTTCCCTTTCATAACAGTCAGATAATCTGTTTAGATAATATGCTTTCAATGAAATAGTTCGTTCGTATACTAATATTCTATAGAGCTAATTCAGAATGGTTGCAGATAAGATTTATAAGTAATATATCTATGATTGAATGACAAATAAAAAGAAGTTTAGTCTCATACATCTTCAACCATCAAAAGTCAGTTTTTCTATGATCTTTGATTATTTTGATTTATCTGATCTATTTGATAAATAATATGTATTTGGAAATCTGTAAGAATTTTTATTTAGAATTACATGTGCCCGGTTAACGGCACAGGCTTACCTATACGTTAAGGGGACTAAAAGTGTGGGTGTTTATTACGCCTCTACGTGCTCTTTTGGGGATAAAGACCTAAGTTTATACACATATCTTGTTATGTAAGATCTGTACGCAAGGCTGTTTCCTTAGAGAATAGCACTGCTGATCTTAGCATTTTTCTTTGTTTCATCTTACAAACTCAAATAAAATACAAGATAAAATCTAACCTTTTCCTTCCCGTCATCCTCTTCATCCACTTCCTTATTATCACCGTCACCTTCCTTATCATCACCATCACCTTCTTCATCACTAGACACGTCAAGTCCAGCTTTATAGTCTTTGCCTTCATCGTCTTTATCTCCCTGTTGTTCATCTTCCTCTGCTATATTTTCTTTCATAACGTCTATATCGAACGGGTTCTCAGTTTCGGTTTCACCTTCCTGTGTAAAAATATATGTTATTACAAAATAAAGAAACAGGACCAGCTAAAGTTAAATGCTTAAACGTTTCATGTCAACATCACCCCAAAAATAGTTTTACATTATCATCACATCAACTGCCTTCAATAGTCCACTGCTGGACATAGGCCTCTCCTTAGAAGGGAGGTTTTGGCCTACTATATCACGCTGGCCAGACGGGTTGGTATAGGGTTTGTTTCAAGTTTTCCTTCTCTATGCAATTTTGTTGTCCTGCGTAGTTGGCTGTTACCACACCCACGGGACGAATACGGGTTGTGACAATCCGTATTCTTAATCCGTCACCACACGGACAGTTTTAATTACGTTAAACTATTTTCTAGGATGTCTTCTACGATATTGCTTAATTTTAGGAAAAAAAAATTTAAAATCAATTTTTATGACAAAAAATATTTACATTTTCATCACCAGCCTCTTCACCATCCACATCCATGTTATCGGGTAGCTCAAAGTCTTCAGGTTCGGGCATTGGTTGTTGGTTGCCGTGGTATGGATCAACCTAAGATAAAAAAAAAAAATGTATTTTAAAGCTTGTTAACATTTATCGAAAAACATCGATTTTTTATATGATTTCGACTTCATTGTTTTACTAGTACTTTTGCTAGTACTAGTACTTACCGTAGCATGTTTATTTGGTCTGTTAACGTTATCCGTGTTGTTAATTGGGTGGGCAGATATGTAATCTTTTTTACGAAAAAGAATCGGAAATATTTTCCTTTTTATCTCAGGCGATTTGTATTTGATTATAATTTCTTAAAACCAAACTGCGAGACAATTTGTTTTTTTTTTTCTTTAAAATATTAAATAAAATTATAATCCTAATAAATAAATAAATTCAAAATGTAAATATCTGACTTACGTGATCATCATCGACTTCCGGTTCCTTCATTTCGTTAATATCTTTCTTCTCCTTTTTGTCTTTCCCTTCGGCACCGTCATCAGTTCCCTGTTCTTGTTCTTTATCTTTAGCAGCCATTTCCTTCTCCCCTGTACTTTCACCCTTGCCCTTTTCTTCCTTATCTTTTTTCTGACCTTGATCTTCCTCCAACTCTTCTTCATCTTCTGAACCCCAGATTTGTTGGTCAAGTCTGTATTAGAACGCTTATTTAATATACTTAAAATTAGATAGTTTTATATAAATATAAGTACAACTTATGAACTCGTAAAGTGATATTTTACGTTGATGAGCACTAATTTGGAATTAGGATTTCATGAATGAACAAAAGCCGCCCTACGTGGTCAACTTTCGATAAACGTCAGCCCCTGGAGAAAATTGTATGTGTTTTATTTTAGTCTTGTAGGGTATAAATGTTTCGACTAATACAAGTATTTCGCTCAGAGTAAATTGCGAAAACACTGTTTCATGAGCAAATTTTAGTTTGACGATGTATTGAATATGTAAAATTGAAAAAGTGTTATACAATATACATACTTTTCCGCAGCATTATCAGTATCACCCATTTGTTTATCAGCGTCGTCCTCGTCGTCCTCTTTATCAGATTCATCGCCTTCTAAAATAATGTTAAATTACGCATAGTTTTAATTTCATTGTTAAAAGTATTACATATTTAATATTTAATTTATATTAACGATGTTTGTAAAGGATGTTACGTGGAGGACGTCACATTATCGTACATAGTTTAGACATCATAAATATTTACAAACAACTACTAAAACTACATAACTTAAAACTCACCTTTCTTCTCAACGTCTTGCAGATGTGAATCGAAGTCATCAGTCATGTTAACTCCTTTCTCTTCCTCTTTGCAATCTCTATTGTCTTCATTTTTCTCTTCGCCAGGACGTTGAGCATCATCAAGTTGATCCTGTACACGTAAAAAAATTCAGGATTAAAACAAGACTGCCGTTTTAAAAAAATCAAATGCCATATTTAATATTATAGGGCATTTGATTTTTTCTCGAAAGAAAGAGAAGTATTTAATTTGTTATATAGCAAACATCTATACTAATATTAATATTATAATTACTAATATTATAATGCTATGTTTTTTTTTAATAGACCAATCCCGCACACAAACACAGATTAAACGGACACAAAGAACACCCAGACTCAGGACAACAATTTGTGAATCACACAAAGTGTTGTCCCATGTGGGGATCGGACCCACAACACTCAGCGCAGTAGGAAGCGGCGAGGTGACCGCTTAAACAAGCTTAAACCGAAGTTAGTTGAACGCGCTCAGGAACTATTGGTTCATATTGAAAAATTAGTGTTGGATGGCTCATTTATCAAGGAAATCTAAAGGCTATATAACATTACGCTACGACCAATAAGAGCCGAGCATCAATGAAAAATGTTGCGAAAACGGAGAAAATTTATTCGATGTTGCGCGGGTCAGCTAGAGTAGCAGACCTATTTCTCTAATCTTACCTGATTTTCAATTCTTTCAGACACATCTTTCTGTCCCTCGCCATCTCCTAGTCCCGTGCCGCCTGATAACTTTCCAGGGCCACCTTCCCCTTCACCTTCTTCCATATCTAGATCTGAAGGCTTACAGAAACTGCAAAAGAAAAACGGATCATTATAAACATACATTCAATTCAATGATACTCTTTGTTGATACAAATTATGGATAATAACTTGAACAGTCATATAAGGAGATTATTTATCTTCTATACTTGGGAATTAATATCAGAATAGTGTGTACGTAGTAGTTAAAGTAAACCGCAATGGTAAAACTTACCCTTTAGAAGCTAAATCGGAGAAAATTTTAAGTAAAACAGACAGCATTTTGCACGACACTCTATGCACAGCCACCTTTTGAGTGATAAAGTATTGCACAAACAACACTGTCTGCTCCAATATTGGCACCAGCCGCATCACCACACTCTTTACATCATCAACATTTTTATCTTCAGTTAAATAGCTGACGTAACTTAACAACAGACATTGTGTTTTATTTATTAGAGCCTCTAGCTGTAACATTTTGGAATCGTTACTCAATTTCTCTTCCAAATGTTTCTTTAAGTGTTTGTCTTCTACAATGTCTTTCGATTCTTCCTTGCTATCATTCTTTATTATTTCATCAATAGCATTCAAAACTTCTGCGTTTTCCGTAGGGTCTTGTGGCAAATGATTTTTATATACTGATTGAATAATTAGGAGCATTGTAGCTATTAAGTCTTCTGTCTGCCGTATTATAATGTCACTTGGTGCTGAATCCATTTGTTCGAACAATTTATCACCTTTATCCGTGTCAAGCTTTTTAAGTTTCTCAGATGTGGCGCTCAAATACTTGCTCAACTCCACTAGGCTTCTTAATATAGGATGTTGTGGTTTACAATCTTCTATCGGTAACTTGAATGTTAATTGATAGTCGTTTATTAGAAGCTCGACATCGTGAAGCATATTTTCTAAGTTCTCTATACAATCTTTTGCAACGTCAATGTGGTTCTGCGATATTACGAGAATGTTCTTTTTAACTAGGCATACATCTTTAGGGACATTGCTAGCAACTTTTTGTAAAGCATTTTTTTGCTTGTTGATATTACTTATTAGAGTTTTGACTTTTTTATACAAGTCTTTCCATTCATCGCTGTTTTTGTAGCAGCGTACTATTTTCGAGTCCGAAATAATACAGTCAAAGTCTGGCTCCGATTCTGAATTAACACCCTTTTCTGGGCACGACTTTATTAGTACATTAAATTGTTCAAGAACGATACCCGCGTTCGCATAGCATTCTGTTAAAAGATCTAGTTTTGAAATCAAAGTGGACAGATTTACGCGAGTGCTATTTATATCTAAAATATTCATCAGGCTCGTACTCAGAGTACGTAAGTCGCAGAGATGTTCTGAATATTTAGCTATGGACTTCTTTTGTGTATTCGTGAGTTTCTGAAAATATTTTATCGAAAACATAAGATTTACGTACAGTAACAAGATTTTAATTTTAGAAACGTAAGACATTCAACTGTAAGTACCGCAGGTGCAGATTCTAATAAAACTTACCAATAATTGTGCGGCGAAGCCTTTACATCTTTCGATGTTCTGTATACCCAAATCTTGGTGAGGCTGTTGCAACGCCAACGTCAAGGTTCTGTGACGAGCTATGTTCTTTTGGAAGTACTTCTCACAGCCAGACCACAACAATGATAAAGAAGCGTCGCAACGTCTGCAGATATAAAAAAAAAGATTACAACACAATTGTTTAAAAAAAAAGTCATGGCTGAGTCATGAGCACAATACGATGTATTTCAAGTAGCAACAATGCATTATATCGTGTCCGGCATTTAAATACACAAAACACATACAATATTTTGCGTTGCTGTAAATTCATATGAAAAATAATCTATCTTAAAATTTGCCGGTTCAACAACGATCTAAAGTAATAGATTTTTTTTGCTAGTTATTAAGGTCCACAAAAAATTTAGACACAAATATTTTTTGGATATTGATATGTTTTTACTTTGGGTCCCGCTATAATGCTTTTTATAAAAAGGCTTATCCTATAGTTATCTTGAGTTAACTGACAAGAACACCTTTCAAAGAAGTACGAAACGCGTTATATGTAGTCATTTGTTTAAACAATGAAGTGAACATAATATATGTCAACCAACCTGCTCTTTAAATAGCTAACAGCTGCTTCTATATCAACAGGTGGTATAGTGAAATCATATAAATCTTTATCTGCCGCACTTAGTATGAATAGACCGGTGCGGTAGTTGAGGCCAAGTTTGGTTAGGTACTTGAAAAGATCAGCCAATGCTTTACGCTTCTGTTGTACGAAGTTCTTAGCTTGAGATGTTTGTTTCTCTTTCGGTAGCGATGTGTCCACCTGAAAAACGATTACTTTTTTATTTAAACCATTTGCAGCCCGCAAAACCTGTATTAAAGGGTCATAATTTCTTATTTTTTTGACTCTCCAGATCTATGTTGGACATGGGACCTATAAAGGCAATCCTTGTAACCCCCGAAGAGCGGTCTTTGTCCAGGTTTACGGGTCGTGAAACTAAAAAAAGGAACCTTTGAGAATATTCATTGACTAAGGCGATTAATTCGTAATATAGTTTATTTGATTTTCCTTACCTCCAAAGAGCCAAGATGTGTGCTAGTTTCGATAACCGTTGTTACGAAATCATCCAACGCTTGAACCATAGCCGGATAAGCAGTATTAGTAATAGTATCCTTGCACAAAGTTCGCGCCTTGTTTAACAGGTTTGGTACCTTTGATATGAGTGAACTATCGCCAGGTACAAGCTTACATGGCTGCTCTGCTTCGTCTAGATATTTCTAAAGGATAAAAAGGAATAGAAATATGTAATGTCTTGTGTTTCATGCTATCTGTCTTGACAAATGCCATTTAAACGAGGAAGTTCTTTGTGGTGGTAATTAATAGTATTTTCAACTGTAACGAAGATGTAATTATAAAGTATACAACACATTCAAGGTTTTCTACCAAACGAATACTTTTCCTTTCCTGTCTCATTCTCTCTAATAGAATGTAAGGTTATAAGTAGATCTACCACCTTCATGCCAATTCTAAGCTCAGCTTAAACGATAATAGCGATTTAGCGACAAATATACTCATCAAACAATAAAATAAAAATATAAGTGATACAATATAATTGTACTGTACTGGTAATAAATAAATTATTATAATACTCCTAAAATATTTCTTGCATGTACATATTAACCATACGAATATATGGTTGGAGAATAATAATAATTGAGCAGCGGCACAATTACGATACTTAGTTTATTTATTTTATAACATTTTGCACAAATACATGCATCGGCGGACTAATGCCTAAGGCATTCGCTGTCAGTCGACCGATTGGGCGATGCTCAGAAAGAATAAGGTAGGTGCATTTATGTGAGGGAAATAATTGATATCTAGTAATTTAGACTTTGGTGTATACATGTGCATACCTACACACATACACATATTTACATACACATAATAGTCAAGTATCTAAACTAATAAGTTTTGGATAAGCAAATACAGTTTGATACTATATACCTCAGATCGCATACAATTATTATAGCGTACTCATATAAAAGACAACATAAATATTTGATTAAGCAGTTAAAATTTGAGCAGTGTTATTAGCCTATTGAACAAACCAATTAATAATTCAGTTACAGATAGATCTACCCCTCAACCACTAGAATAACATTCAACTTTTAATAACATACAACAAGTATTTATTAATATTAGAGGTACTACCTGGATCGGCTGCGAATTGAAAAAGAAAACAAAAATTAGTATCTAACTATTAAAGGAAAATACTGTTAGTGTAATATACAATATTTATTCCATTTTAGAGTGATAGAAAAACAAATTGCGATTGATTAAGCGATTGCGATTGAGTTAATTTAATTGCGATAGTAGTCGCAACATTGTGGTGGTAGTGTTAAAGAAAGATATAATAATAATACTAGTTTTTTTCCGTGTGGTGATTAAGAATACGGAGTGTCACCACCCCTATGCATCCCGTGGGTGTCGTAAGAGCCGACGTAAACAGCACTTCAAAGAGAAGGAAAACTTGACAGAAACCCTTTACCAACCCATCTGGCCAGTGTGGTATAGTAGGCCAAAACCTGCTTTCTAAGGAGAGGCCTATGTCCAGCAGTGGATTATTAAAGCCTGTTGATGTGATGATGATGTGTGCCTAGTTTTTTTTAAATCTTTATTTAAGGAGTTTTATCCAACAGGATAATGCCACTCCATTGGGCCAATTCACAAAGATATTTTTCATAGCATCTAGTCTAAATAATATCTGTCTATATAAAATTATTAACATTCTTCCAGACCTGCCTTCGCATACCTATGTTTTTGTACTAGTTGATAGTAATTATAGTCAGTCACTACCGAAAACACACCTTTGTTAGCCGCTTTAAGAAAATGTATTAAATATTATTTATTAATAATTTTCTGTAAGTATTTTAAACTGGGTACTACACTACAGAATCTATTAGTATACTTTGAAAATGTATTACTTAGTGTCAGAAAATAGTTATATTACAAAATAATATTGATAAAATATCCAAGATAAAATGCTTGAATCTGTATGTGTTATCATTACACTATTATACTTTTTAGTGGTTGTGGTTTATGTTGTATTAAAAACAATATTGTAAGTAAGTCTCAACAAAGTGCCTTCCTATACATATAAAATAATACACTACAATTGTAGATGATCAACAAAAAAAAACAATCCCAACAAAATGTAATAAGTACCTTAATATTCCTGGCCAGTACTATGTGGTTGGTTACGTCGATCATGTAGGCTCCGCCGGCTTGAGCTGCGGCGGCTGTGGCCCGTTTGGGCCGGTCCCAAATACCAACGTGGTCGCCTATCACCTCTGTTGTATTGTCCACAAGGCAGCTACCTACACTCTCTTTAAGAACGTTCTGGAAATTAATGTAATAAAGTAATTACTTTATTTACTGGATTGCGGTCAAGACAATATAATTCAATTTGCAAAATAATTTCAATATCTTAAAACTGTATTTGCGCATTGCATTTTCTATCAAAGAATGTAAGGTTTTAATGAAAACATATTTTGCCAATTTATACGAGTAATATACAAATAAAATAGTGACGCATCAATCAAGACCCTGACCAACCAGGTGCCGAGCTTTCGTATGGAACGATAATTTGGAACTTAGAATCTGATTGCCCAGGTGCCAGGCTTGATCGATGCGTCACTATTTTTTTAACGCGAATGGGCTATAGTTTACATGAGATAATGCAAGTGAATAGGCTTTCTGACACAATTTACGTTTTATTGCGGATTTAAGTCTGCTAATATTTAAGTCTTGAATATTATTTAGGATTTTGTTATTAAATCGGACACATTGACCTCGAAAAGGCTTGCTCGAAAAATCTTTTGGAGCCCAGAAGCTTCTTTTCAAAAAGCTATTCTTGTTTTTATGAACATATATTACATTTTCATGTACATATTGACTGGCCACTGTCATTATGTTTATTTCTTTAAATTTCTGCCTCAGTGAAGAACGATTGCCTGCATTATAAATTGCTCCAATCGCTATCTTTTGCAGTACAAAAATAGTTTGAATGTCGGCACCATTCCCCACAGTAGAATACCGTACGACATTATGCTATGAAAAAAACAAGTCGTGCAGTTTCAACATCAGTCAGCTCTCCAATTTTTCTTACTGCGTATGCAGCTGAGCGCAGTCTACTCGATAATTTATCAATATGTGAGTCCCACTGTGGCTTAGAATCTAGTGTTATACCTAAAATGTCGTAGTATCCACAAGGTCTAACTCGACATCCTTAATCATCACAGTAGTTTTCACTGGCTTGACGTTTGGCATAGTGAAACGAATACACTTAGTTTTTTATTCATTTAAAGGCAAATTGTTGACGTCAAACCAATAAAAAGTTATAAGAGAAAGAATATATAAATTATAATAATAAATAACATTATATAATAAATGTACAAACCTCAAACTCCTTTGTATGTTTGTGTAAAGCTTTATGAGCTTTTTCAACTGTGTCCTTGACGCTCCAGTAGCTAAGATCTCGGTCCCAAGTACATATTTTGACAAAATCCCGTAATTTCTTCTCAATAGGCGCACGTTTCTCTTTGATATGGGAGGCTATTTGGGCGCTGAATTGGGTGTAGTAGTTGTACGTGTTCCAAAGGATTGCGAGGAGTTCATCTAGAACGAAATATTAGAGTTGGTCTTGAATTGTTCAAGTATTGCATTTTGGTATATAATTAATAGGAACCTTTCTGTAGATCTAAATATATGTATAACATATTCAGGCATAAATGCTCCTACACCTTAGGACTTACCTCGTTGTTCGCTTTGTTCCAAATGAATCAAATGACAATGATAAACAAAAATGATGTCAAGCCTCACTTCATACTCGGCCAAGTTAGACTTTTCCATAAAGTCCCTCAAAACAGAGATGACTCTTTCGGCCTGATTTTGCTCCGACTTTTCTAAATAAGATTTGATCACTGAATATAGGTAAAACCAGTACTTGTGAGCTTCTGCTTGCTTTCTGTAATTATTTAAAATTTTATACATAATTTAATAAGAGATAGAAGTATTAGCAAAACGGCAAGGACTTACTCTACCGCTTATAGGGATGTGTCACAATAAAACCAAATAACAAATGAGCTCAGACTCGAGAGAACAATTATTAAGTAAAATCGTAATGTATGTTTTTTATTTTATTTTACTAATTAGCAGTGGTAGTCAATGTTAGTGTGTTAAGCGATCGTCCTATACTCTAAAGAACTTAGCACTCACCTATGATACAAATTATTAAGGCATTCTTTCCAGTTCGCCATCTCTAGTTTTCTCCAATTGATGATTTGCTGACCCACTGCTAGCGATACGTCAATTAAATTGTTCCCTTTATGAGCATTTTTATTCCATTCCTCGATCTTATCCCGCAATAACTCGAGGCCAGTGAGGAAACGGCTCACTGGACTGGTTATTGAAAAGCCAAGTATCCTGTTTACTATGACCATTATCTGAAAATATAAAAACATACAATATCGACCTTTAATAAAGAGAATACTGAATAATAATTCAAAGTCAACTATCGTATTGCTTCATTAATAACATAATACAATAATTTTATACCTATATATTAATTAATGTATAATCAACTATTACGTTAAATCATCTTAATATAAACTTATTATTGCTTAATAAGTTATAATTTTACCTCTTTTAAGGTAGGGAAATCTGGCCACTGGTCCAATAACGTGTTGGTGCTTTCTTTCACTCTATGAAGTAAAGGAACACATTGTTTTGTCTCAGACACCCATGCAGATTTGTAGAAGTCCACCTTGCTTGATGTTTCTAAAAAAAGAATATTATACCATTATTTTGAACACTAAATAAGATTTAGAGTAGTTTCGAATATAATAAGATAAAGATTTTTCATCAATTTTCTAATAACTAACATAAAATGATGGGACAGGTAAAGAAGCTTGCAGCAAGATTACCCTAATTACCTTATTATTCTGAAACAAATACCAAGAAATCGAAACTTACAAGTCGTTTTAATTACAGTGGTGGCAGTTGGCGCGATGAAGTTAAATGCCCTAGAGGAACGTGAAAACGAACCCCAAAGTTCTTAGAAACTATATTTAACATTAACATATACATACGTCACAGATACATAAGTTACAAAACCGATGTTCTTCTGTCTCTTTATTATTTTGGCATTTTATTTTTAAACGCCCTGAAAAATAATAATACATAAGTTATAGAAAATACAACATACCCTCGCCATCCACTTTGGCCTTGATCTGCGACAAAAGCACCATAAAACTTGGCGATAGCACCCCTTCAAATTCACCATCCAGAGCCTTCCACGCATAAGTCATTATTCGACTAAATGTACTATATCGCTGTAAAAACGGGCTTATAACATCGTTGCCGACCAATTTTTTTCGGGCAGGCAACCATTCTGCCGAAGTCATCGTACGGACTAAATTGGAATGCCATTTGTATACTAAAGTTACGTCCTGGGAACCTATTAAGGCTTTTGGTTTGTTCTCCGATGTGCGTTGTGGTTTATCTGGTACTTGTTCTAAAGTATTCGGTTTGAACTCGGCGAAATCTAAATCGGAGTATGACGGGAACATTTGTTGTATCTCTTCGTTGGCTATCGCTTCCTCATCTTCATCCTCGCACTTTGATCTATAAAAGATATTTTATATTATATTACTTTCTTGACTCAATCTTGATAAGTCTTCTTTTTATTGAGAAATAAACAAATTATATCAAGCTTCAGAGTATCTACGAATTACTCAAATTGTTGAAATACATGAAAATTGGTTAGTTACTAAATCTTTCGTAGAGTAGTTTTTGATGCAATGTTTGTTTATTTGATGTTTGTTTGTTTATTATGTATCTCTGGAACTCGATAGTTCCAGAAATAAATGCTACTGATGTAGATATTTAGTTATGTAACAACATGCTACGGACCCAAGCGCGGAGCAAGTGACCATAAATGGTGGTGAAACTGAGAGAGTTCGGCAGTTCTTTAAATTCAGAGAAGTGAGACCAGTTTATGACAAAATGTCTAAATTTAGGAATATACCTATTGACCAATTATAATAAGTGAGAATATACTTAAGTATATTAAAACTATTTCTGAAACTGCCTTTGACTGCACGGATGGCGTAGTGTTTTAAGCGATCACCTCGCCACCTCCTACTGCGTTGAGTGTTGTGGGTCCGATCCCCAAATCGGACAAAACTTTGTGTGATTCACAAATTGTTGTTATGAGTCTGGGTGGTCTTTGTGTCCGTTTTATGTATATTTGTATAGTCCCCCGCGACACAGGATATATTCCTAGTGCGAGAGTTGTCTTTAAGACAAAAACAATAACGATGATATTTCTATGGATAATATTTTTAATTTTTATTTATTATCTAATTATTATTACAACGTCAAAAATACAATAGTACGGTAATAGTTGCAGTAGTAGGAACTGTGTCGCAACTATTAACGGCCGCTATCGAATATGTGTAAACATTAATTTGCAATATCCGTTTGTTACAATACATTTCAAAGTAAAAAAAAGTAGAAATATTTAATATAACTGAAAAAAGTGAAAACACTGTAAACAGCAGCAAAACTTCAAAGCCAAAATATAAATTATAAAAAAGGAAAGATAATAATAGGAAATTTGTGACAAGGTCACTCGTGTGTGTCTGTGTATATGTGTCTATGGATGTGTATTTTTGTGTGTGTGTGTGGGTGTGTGTGTGTAAATGTGAGATGGGTGTTCATTATTGTGTGTGTAAATAATAGAATGAACGTACTTCGTAACATATAAGGCCTCATCATCTTGCTTCTGCTTTTCAATATCTCGCTGCTGCTGTTCCCACACCTTCACCATTTCATTTAGAGTAGAGGTTACCGCGAGTGCCGTAGACTTATCAAGTTTATCCAACGCGGTACAATGCATTCTCAACTCATCCAGGTTCATCTTCAATAGCCTACAAAAATACGTAACTTTGTGTATGTGTAATTATTTTATTTATGTGAATTTAAACATTGGAGGAGATTTAGATTTAATTGTTGACAAAAATACCTGTGGAACTAGACAATGTGTGCTGGTACATTTTTAGAATTGTATGACGTAAGAAATTCAACATTATGTTCAAAATTCACATTATGTTGTATGTATCGTAAAGATACTTTAATAATGAATTTGAAGAATAATTACTTACTGGATTCGTTCCATGTCAGCTACAGAATTACCATCACTGCCTATAGAAGCTTTATTCAACAGCAGAACGAATTGTTCTGAGAGAAACCTATTCAAATATTCTTCGGTAACACCTTTAATGGGTATTTTATTTGGAAAAATCATCAATTCTTCGACAAAATTCATAAAGAGTGGGCCGTTTTCTATTTTAACTATAAATTCCTTTATCAAATCATTTAAAGTCGTTACACTGTATATTATCTGTGACAAAGAACTTAGCAGAGGTTTTGCTAAGTCTGGTAGCGCGTCAGTATATTGTTCGACTTTTTTATAAAAGGCGTTAACTGAGTAAAGCCAAGAACTCGTCTGTTTTGTAACAACATGTCCGTTTCGAACATCGGACTCGTTTATGGATTTGTTTGTGAAGTATATGTTAAGATTATTGCATGTTGACATTAAGTCTCTCATTAACTCGTTGGTAGTTTCTGAAGACAAAACTGATTTTGTGAAATGTTTGCAATCCTGAAAAGAAATAATGAATGAATCAATGTTTTTTTTTTAAAGATAATAATCGCTAATGTAAATTATTTGTTCGATGATGAATTCACCGTTTAGCGTTTACTCAACTCTGACATACACTTTCATCGTTAACTCCGGTGTATTGATAACCTGTAAGAGTTTCAATACGAAAAGAAATACTTGTAATGACCAATTTAGGCAATCACCAGGATCTTTCAACAGAGCTTGGCAAAATTTAATTTCTTTACGACTTTTCATATTATATTTGACTTACTTTCATAAAGCTAGTGTAAGACGGCTCGCCAGGTCTGAACGTGTTTCCTAGAGCATACTTGGCAGCCCTTTCTACAGTCTGTGTTTTCAAATTTATGATAATTTCACAGTACGGATGCACTTTTGTAACTTCACGAAATAGGCTAGTTTCTAGCTCAGTTACGTCGACGTCGGATGGCTTTTCGATCTTCCTATTATCGCTAACACTCCCAGATACAAGACCGTGGAAGTAGTAAGAGCTAAGAAGACTATTAAATATTGATATATCTTCTTCAATATACCGACTTTTGAGTCGGTATTTCTCAACATGATCTACCGAGTTAACCTCAGACATTACTTGGATGAATAGAAAACTCGTTAAAAGTGATAATTGTGCAGTTAAGATTTTCATCCTTGCCCCATCACTCTCTAGCACACTTCTCAGTTCCGAATAAACGTTGTAAGATGTTGTTAAAATGTTAACAAAGTTTTCGTCTTTGATATGTTCTAGAACTTTTTGTATCCCCTTCGTAAGAATATCATCAAATGAGTTGCTTTCATTTACATTTAAGGAATTCAAACACGATAACAGTTTCTCATATTTCTTCATTTCAAATTTTCTGTCCGATATTCTGCAAATAGTTTAAAAAATAATTACTATCTTTTACAAGAATGAAAAGATAACTATTACGTTAACAACAGTTACTAAGTAGCTATTCATCATCATCATCATCAGCCTTTAATAATCCACTGCTGCTGTTGCCCCTTAGAATGGAGGTTTTGGTCTACTATACCACGTTAGCCAGTTGGCTTGGTATAGGGTTTGTTTCAAGTTTTCCTTCTCTTTGCAGTGCTGTTGTCTTGCGTAGTTTGCTCCCGTAGTCGGCTCTTACGTCACCCACGGGATGAATAGGGATGGTGATACTCCATATTCTTAATCCATCACTACACAGATAGTAAGTAGCTATTGTTACTTACTATTGGCGACCCTATCTAGATTTGTGACCCAGTTCAGGCAAAATTTAACAGAAACAGAAACAGGTGATAGAAACTGCAGTGTACTGCAAAATAACAATTTAGATATATTTATCAGAAATATTGCAAAAGAATGTGACAATTACATTTAGACATATATAAAACACAATAAATGTATGTGTGTAAATGTATATAGCATTTACACACACACACATTTATTCATTTACATAAATACAATGCTGAATAACTATGAAGACACATAATTAACAGCTACCAATTTAAATCGTTACCATATGTGAAATATATAAGAATACGATCGATATGGCCTAAGGAGTACTTTTTACATAAATATTACTGACGTATGTAACAAAGTGTAAGACTACTCACATTTTTGAAGAGGCTCCCGTATTCAAAGTTGCAATGTTCTTCCACAAAATATTCAAAATGGTACCCAGTTGCGTAGAATAATCTGTTCTATCCTCCAAGGACACCGCTTCGTATGCGAGAAGATGTTTTGAATCTGGATAATATTGATCAAGAACATAAACATGTAAAAACCGAGAGATAAGAAGGCATTTTAAGTGGGATCAAATCAGGAAATAGAACGCAGCTCCTCTCTACGAGTTATAATGATTATAATACATAGTTGCCAATACATAATATCAATTTTATGTAGTATCATATCAATCAAATTTTTTAGTAAATGTTTACCTACATATTCTATACAAATACAATATTGGAGTGCAAAATTTTATCCAAATTTGTTGCGTGATTGATATACACAACTTCAAACGGTTGTTAAAAATAAGGTATGAAGTACTTACATAAGAACAAAAAAAAAACAAAAATAATAATAAAATACCTGCATTATCAGTAGAGACAGTGAATTTCTGCAAGTAATAAGGCAACAGAGCCAAACCGCTTGACCATCTCTCGCTGTTGATCGGGACTTCGTCTAATCTCCTGTCCTCTGGACTTTCCATTATTTGTGCAGTCAAAAATGGCACAGGATAAAAAGCCGGCGCATACACGAGAGATTTGTAAAACTCATCCCAAAACTTTACTGGAATAGATGATATTCTGTAAATAAAATAAATTCACATTATAACGATGCGCCTCAAAACCAGTATGTATTTCACGGTAAAAACAACTAATCCTTCAAATATTTAACGTTAATAACTATTACTGATATAAATATTTTGATTCAAATTTTTTAATACAATTTAAACAATAGATGTAATTGATACAAGTTTTTTATCATTATTTTAGGTTATAATACTAGGTGGTGTAGTTTTTCTTGTTCTTTAAAAAGCCTATTAGTAAACTTATTTCTTAAATATTTTACTATGCATTTTTGATTATTCTGCAATATCAATAAAATATCTATTGAACACTAGAAATCAACCATTAATTTAAAAAAATAACATACGACACCCAGCTAGCTGGTTTTTTTAAATAATATGTGTAAGCAATATAAAATTAAAAATAGTTTACCTTCCCGTGATTTCTGGTTGATATTCTTGTAAGTGCACCATTACTTCAATAAGGTTCAGCAAAGCAGGAGGAAATCCATTAGTCACTTTACCTAAGTGTATCAGACTCACCAAAACATCAGAAAATTTACTAACCACTTTAGGCTGATCTTCTACATTTGTCAATTGAGAGATCATCTCTATAAAATCCCCTTGTACTATGGTAAACATTCTTTGAATGACATATGAGATCAGAGGCAGTAGTTTAACTTGTGGAGCTACTCTGATGATTTGATCGTTTTCTAGTTCCTTAGACATATTTACTTGAATTACTGCTAGGGTTTCTTTATTGGGCACGTCTAAAGCCATATTCATATCCGTCACAATGTAGTTATTCACACAAAATTTGTTCAACTGCTTTGAAATAGGTTGCCCCATGTCTAACGATAATTGGCGGTATATTTTTGTTTTCTCGCTGCTAATATCATATTCTTCTTTGTTGAAAAACAATTTTGGTTGACCATACATTTTTCTAAGCTTTTTGCTAACTTTAATCATTTGTGTATTGTCTTGATCATTATTCTTCATTACGTATTTAACTCGAGCATTAAACTCTTTGACCAAATCATTATTTTCATGTGAAATTTCAGCAAAGGGTAAAATCAAATGTTTATGTAACCATTTACTATGAGCATATAATAATGGAACGACATCTTCTCTTAAGACTTGTCGGCTACTACCTTCAGACTGAACAAAGATATCGTTGCTTAACTGTATAAACAACCGACTACGCCAATTCAATGCTTGCATGATATGGCAGGTTCTTTCATCGTTTAGGTTATCTTGAGCACATCTAATAGCGCGTGTAATATACTCCTCAACAATAATAAGATAGCTTTGACAGTGTTTTAGAATAGGGTATTCAACAAAATCATCTGTTAGATCGTGTGACAATACAGCCCTAGAATAATCCAATATCGAAAAGGATTTCTTTGATTTTTTTTTTTGCATATATGATATGACATTCTTTAGAGTATTATTGTAGAATAATAACGACTGTTTGTTCGAAGAGTAGAAAATTGTGTTACTTGAATTCCTTGGTGCTGGGTAAAATCTATCGTAAGAACTCAGATGTTTATATCTTGACAAGTAGTGGAATGCTTGATCGTTTAGTAATTTCGCAAATTCACACATTGACCCCATGGACTGATCTTTCAAAGCATCTTGTACAATAACGTGAACCAACTCTAATAGATCTTTAGAAACTTTTTGATACACAGTAAACAGACTAGAGAAAACTGAGATAGAATTGATAGAAACAGCTTGAATAGCGACATAAGCAATTTGCTTAGCGATTTCTATTGAAGAATTTGAACAAAGTCCTTTGACGGTAAGAGTGTGGTCTGTGTTGATACATTTTCTATACTCTTGACCAGTTACTGCTTCTGTTAGCGCCTGCATCATAACATTTTTCATTTCAGCAAGAGACATTATAATGTTCGAGTCGAAGTCCCCTCCGCATCTTGGTTTGATATAAACATCAGAGAAACTGCTAATGTAAGCAGTTTCTACGTTAATGCCTCGGACTATTTGTTGCCAAGTTAAGTGTGCCGCCTGTAACAAATGCGAAATCGTAGGACGCTCGAAGCCTGAAAAAATAATGAAAACATAATGGATGGCAAACATTTTAAGTAAAAGATCTTAGTTATAAAGGGAATGATAGGTTCAGCAAAGTACGATTTTGCACTCTAAAATAATAGTTATTACATAAACATAATAGGGGCAGTGGTAAGGCTAGAGTTAGATGACAGCTTACTCAGAGCTCATCAGAATCATGAGTGAATTTATATTTCTAGATCACATATGAATTTTAAATATCTAACCATCTGCACTGTGTTTCAAGGGACACAGAAACGAATATGATTTATGTTATGAATGAATAGATAAGGGTAATAGATAGGGTTCGGAAATAGATACTACTACAAAGGTAAATTATCAGTAATTAAATAGGTACCTCGTACATATGACTTCATCAAATCATGGCATTTAATGCACATCTCATGGTATTGACTAGGCAAACCACATGAAGATAGCATCGCCGTCAAATCCATGTAACTCACAGTCTCTGATAAGTTAGTGTTAAAGTCACTAGGTCTTAGCAAGAATATTTCAACCCCTCTGTTTCTCATCGCCCTAGAAATCTCTCCATACTTCGGGTCCATTGTAAAAAATACTCTGAAATTTGGATGTGGTCTTATTTCACAGAAATCTCCTCTTTCCGGTATACTTAGTACTCCATTCGGTTCTAATAAACCGTTCAGCCTATCGAGGACTGCGGCTGAACACAAGTTGACATTATCGAGGAGCAGCCAAGATCCCTCAATCATTGTTTTCACAAGTAAAGAGTCAACAAATTCAAATTTCCCGCCAGCGTTTACGGACGTCATTGAAGATAATTTGTTTTGTAGCTTCTTTAAGCATGTTATGGCGTCGTTAATTTTGGTCCTGTCATTCAATCGTTTATTATTTTGAAGTAATTTATCACAATGGTTCAGAAGAAATTCTATTCTTTGTCTAAAGTTCTCCATATTATCTGTAGTCACTTCATCACTGGAAACTATTTGTAGTGCCTCGTACTGATACAGATTACTTAGCAACGGTTTTGATTTCCATTCTTTAACCTCGTTCTGCAGCCATATATTCCTAGTTGTTTGTATTGTGAGAGTCTTAATTCTATCATAAAGGCTTTCGAGATTTCTGTTGTAATCTACTTGTTCAAATCCACCTAGCAAATCGGAAACGTCCATAGCTGATGTGACAGGAACTACTTGTAATTCGTTGCCAGTTAGATCGGCAAGTACTTGTACAATACTACTTTTTCCTGTAGCTGTAGGCCCAACTAGTATAGATAACCAGTTCATTTTAATACTTTGAGCCAAAGCTTTCAGAGTGGGTAGTTGATTTCTCAATACCCGTAAATTTGTTGTAATTGCTCGTCGATTTCTAAAAGTTTTATCTAAATTTCGTTGCAATGAAACGTCATCTATAAATATTTCTTCATCTGTTATTCTAATCTGGGGATTACTGACGCTTCTTGGATACCTAGGAAAAAAGATTCGGTCATACGTAGCAGCCATTCTTTCTTTATCTTCTGCTGTTCTCATACGATTTACATAGAGCATGTCAACGTACTTTCCAGGACGTGGTGGTTTAGCACTCAGTTGATCATTTAAGAGTGCCTCGCACCATCTTTGTATGTCCCTCAAATTCATTTCATAAGGAGCTCCTAAATGACCCCAAGATTGCAGTACAGTGATTTCCTTAGCAACTTTACAGTTGAAAGTAACTATTTTACGTGCGATATCTTTATGCATCGTGGGGTACTGTGATTCCACAATATAAAGTAAGTCATCCTTTGTCAAAGTGTCGATATACACTTGAGTAAATCTATTTAGAAACGAAATTGGTAGACCTCTTCTAGCACCTCCCTGCTTTAAGGGATTCTGACAAGCAAAGATTCTAGTTTGTTCTTTGACTTTAAACGTTTTACTAAGCTCAGGAATGAATACTTCGCCTCGGTGGTCCAAGCAAGCGTTAAGACCTTCGAGAACTGGTTGAGGGGCGAGATTTAACTCATCTAATAGAATCCAGTCGCCGTTTTGAAGGGCATTTAGAAAAGCTCCTTCTTTGAAAGTAAAAGAACCATCCTCTGTTGGTAGGTCTGTTCCAAATAAGTCTGTTATATCCTGAAATAAAAAGAGATAATAATTAACATATGCACTATAAGCAATTAACACTTCCTATTAGAACATGCTACTTACAGTTTGATCACTCAAATTAATGCGTACAACATTATGCCCAGAAGATTTAGCAAGTGCTGTCACTAAACTAGTTTTCCCAACACCAGGGTTGCCTTCTAGAAGAATTGCCTTATTCAGCTGTAAACCGCGCAATAACCTCAGAGTGTTGCTACCAGTTGTAGGTGCAGAAAACGTAAATGTTTCATCTTCATCAGAAACGCGTGGTTTTTCCCCTACTTCAATATAGAAAGGTTTTATGCCAAATTTGTTACAGTTAGTTCTAGCTTTAAATTTCGTTTTCTTGGTACTTAGAATATATTTAAGACTTTGCAAGTATTCACTGCCAACCATTTTAATTTGATTCAAAAGAAAATCAATCGCTGTTTTTCTTAAAGTATCTAGAGTCTTTGACTCTGTATGTCCTGTTAGGGCTGTACCGAAACAGTCAAGGAAAGTCATGCAAGCACCATGAACGTAAGCTTCAGGGGTATCCAATAATCCTTTAGCTACTGTCTCGTTAATGAAATATACCCACGAAAGTAGATCTCGAATGGTAAATGGGAATTTACTAGTAGCTTCTGAATTTTTCAACCATTCCGTGAAATCTAATATTGATGTACCGATTCCGGAGCTTCCATCTTCTTGATTGCCTAACGATACACCCTTGTTGACACTTTTTTCAAGAACTTTTAAAAGGTCTTCTCTAGAAGTAACACTATCACACCATATTTCTGTGAATCGATTCCGAAGCGCTGGTGAAAGCTCTTTCTTACCAAAGTCTCCTCCAGGATTCATAGTACCAATAAAATGGAAGTTTTTGCTTGCTGTTATCACAACAATATCAGAATTATCTTCCATCCCTCTTTCAGCTAACACAAGTTGACGCTCAGGTTCAAGTAAAGAATTCAGTCTTTCTAAAACACTATCATCTGCTAATGATATTTCATCAGCTAAAAACATGTCGCCTGTCTCCATAGCTTTTATAAGTGGTCCGTCAACCCATTCAAAAAGTCTACCATCGTTTTTATATTGACGAACAGGTCGAAGTCCTCCTAAGAAATCAGAACTTTCTGTGTGCATGTGACAATTAACTGTTAAAAGCTGACGATTATTCAAAGCGGCGAGAACTTGACATATAGTAGTTTTACCACAGCCCGTTTCTCCTACTAATAGCACAGGCTCATCAAAACTGAAACATTTAGCTATTAAAACAGCTAGTCTTCTCATATTAAAAGTCCATACTACATGAGTAAATTCGTGCAGCTGGTTATTCAGGATGGTTTCTAAGATAAACTTGGTAACTGGAGAGGTACTCGCATGAAGACTAAAAAGATTATAAGGATTAACTTTTCTCTTTATGTGTTTTGCTATAACTTCTTCTATAATAGACCGTTCATCAGTTTGTCGCACTTTACCAGCTAAAATAAGATAACCTTCGTCTGCGATGTGTTGGTCCCAATCGTAGAATTTATCATCGGTTAAAGCTTCTTTAGAAGCATGTTTGTATCGCTGTCCCCATCTGAACAAATCTCTGAGGGTGATAAAGCCATCTTTGCCTTGTACAGCAGCTGACCCACGTCTCCGTATCTGAAGCTCAGACATAACAGCTATCATTTTTTTACTGTACGCAGGTGGCACGTGACATCTTTGGTGTAGAATCGTTTGAAGTTCGGCTTTTGGTATCTCGTCGAAATGTAATTCGACAAATCTGTTCCTAAATGCTCTTGAAAGCATTTTGCGGCCCCCATACAATCCCGGCGGATTTTGTGTAGCAAATAGCATGAAATTAGGATCAGCTTTGACCACCTGCTGTGTTTCTGGTATAAACAATTCACGATTATCGTCCAATACACGATTGAGGGCTTCTAAAACGTCACTTGGTGCTAAATTCAGCTCATCCAGAATGATCCAGTATCCTTTTCTCATTGCTTCGACTAAAACTCCTTCCTTGAATACAAGTTTACCAGAAGAATCACTGGCATACGATCCTATGTACTCTTGGAGATCCGTATGTTCGTGATTATTTATTCTGACGCAATAATTGCCCGAAGCCTTAGCAATGTAAGTGATAAGGGAAGTTTTTCCAACCGATGTGTCTCCTTGCAAGAGAATGGGCAAGCGTCCTAACGATATAATACGAGCTATATCACGAAGATTTTTTCTAACTGTAGGTGTTAGTATATAGTCTTCAGGTATAGCTATTTCTAATTTGCCTTGTGGTATCCAATGGCCTTCGAAAAGCAAGTAGTTCTGTCCTAAAACTTGTGGTTCTGGGATCATTTGATTAATTACCGATGTCACGTTTTTTTTACCGATAACAGCCCTAAGAAAATAAAAAAGCAAAATTAATATTAATAAATTTAAACACTAATTATAAGAAAAAAGTGAATATTACTTACTTAGCTATCATAGCTTCAACTTTAGGATGTGAAGAGCTATCTAACTGAGTTAGAAAAGATAAACAAAAAGCTTCATACAACGACCTGGACACTGTTCCACATTTAGCTTTGGCAGCTGCTGTCAAAGCTCTGCACAGTGTTCTTAGTGAATAATGAGGTGCATTCCCTAAAATCAAAAGGAGAAGGCGTTATCATAATGTTCTTAAATATGTAAAGTATCAAAATAAAGAGATTCTATTACCTGATCCATCCACCAGAGTTATCTTAGCTTCTTTTTTTATATTAGCGTAAAAACTATATATCGCCTCCATAACAGCTCCACTTAGATTCATATGATATAAATAATCACCGATAAGCAACATTAAATCATTCCTCTCGGTCAATTCATCGATGTAAAACTCCGTAAATCGATTTCGTAAACCTGGTGGTAAGTCTTTTTTACCCACATCCGTAGCGGGATTCATGCATGCAAAAAGAGTAAACTCTGGATGTCTTTTTATAGGAACCTTATCGCCTTTTTCTAATAAATCTATGGTATCGTTTTTATCTTCCAGCAAACCTGCTAAGCATTCTAGAATTTCTGCTGACGCTAAATTAATTTCATCTAATAAAACCCAGTGTCCTTCCTGCATAGCTTTAACTAGAGAGCCTTCAATAAAAGCAAATGTCAATTTCGAAGCTGCCTTTACCTGTTGTTCGAGTTTTAACAATTTAGAACCAAATGCTAACCACGGTTGAAGTTTAGCGTGCTTGTTTTCAACGGTCAGTCTGCTAATTGCCGCCTTGTGACTCTGCTTCATCAAAGTCACTAAAGCAGACCAGCTTTCAGTTTCATAACAGGTATCAATATGTCCCAAAAACTTTTTATTTTTTTCTATATTGTAAAAACTTTTAAAAAGGTCTTTGAACTGGCGTTTTATAGGACGAATTATGTACTTCATATCAACAGGTTTATATCCACCAAGTAGGTCAGCTGAATCAGATTGTTGGTTCATATTAATTACGACCAGTTTGTGGCCGGTCTGCTTTGCTAAATATTGCACTGAAGACGTTTTGCCCGTACCCGTTTCTCCAACAAGTAATACCGGCTCATTCGACGTGACACAACAAGCTATCCTCTCAAGCAAACATGCTGATTGACGCGTAAACGAAAATACTGTTTCCTTATTATCAAAATTTATAGCCTCTAGGCTCTTTTCTATTCTAGGAACCTTCGATCTACCAACTTCTAAATATCTCCCATTTAAAGACACATTTGGCTTATAATGTTTGCAATAAAATTCCGATTTTGTTTCTACTATACCAAGTAATAAGCCAACTTTTTTTGCCAATTCCAATCTATGTTCTGGAGACGACACCGAACAAGTGAAAATGTCTAAAGCATCTTGTAATACTTTTAAAGCTGATTCAGGACATGATACATTAAAATCAACGACAGCTCTAGAGCACCACTTCAATAAGTCTCTTGTTGATATCAGTCTTGACCCTCTTAGGAGTAACAGATCTTTGTCGTTTCGATTAGTCACTATTTCGGTGGTCTGTAACGACGTATCGTGACTGCCCACAGAAAACAACATGAATACTTCAAGTATTCTAGAACAGATACTTGTAAGGGCTGGGTACAAGGTTTGTATGATTTCTCCTAGCTCTGTTCTAGATAGGGGTTCTACATTAATTTGTGTTAAATGCTTTTGAAGTAACGTACTGGAGTTGGATATTTTTTTCTGGAAACCATAACTCGTCGTAAGTATTCTATAAAAAAAGAATAATGATATTAAATATTAATAATATATTAAGCCTATAAATTTTTGCATATTTTACAAACCTTTGCGTGACGAATAGTTGGAAACCAGGGGTGACAGGCAAGGAATCCCTAAAACCAGGAACACACAGCGAATTTCTTTCTAAAAGGGTACTTAACGTTGAAGCCACATCCAAAGCGGCACAGTCTATATCTTCCAAAAGCAGCCAGTGCCCATTTTGTACAGCCTAAAAAATTGGAATTTCATGCCATAACTAATTTGGGACTGTGGGTTTGTTTCGATATAGTAAAAAAAATATCTTGTACAACTATAATTCATTGTATTCATAACTTGAAAAAGAGAAAAATGAAAGTGGTTTTCTTTCCTCAATGACACTATAAAACTTGAATGTTAAGGCAAATAATTACATGTTACAAAACAGCTATATAAACTTTATCAAAAAATGTTTAATAATGTGCATTTTCGACTGACCTTGAAATTATGGATATAAATATGATAGTTATGGCACTCATCTATTTTATCTAACAATATTTTGATGTGATAAGCAATTAAAGAATAATTAGTAGGTTTTAATACCCTTTCAATGTTGCAGAAGCATCAGATATATGATGACGGCTCAGCAGAAATGTTTAGGGCTAGCCAAATAAACAGTTAAGGTTTTTTTTTATTTTACAAAGAAGATAAATGATTTATACTTTGCTAATATTTTGAACAAAAAAAAAACTGTTGTTTAAAATTCTAGTATTTTCTTATCAATACCATCTAAAACAAATATTGGTGTTGCATACCTCAGTCAAAACACCTGGCATCCAAACAAACTCCCCTGGAACATCCGTACATTGATGTGAACCTAATAGCATACGCGAATCTGTCTGATCACCAAGTTGCACTTTTTTAAAAGCCACTCCTTTACGTCCTGTTATAGCAGCCAAATGTTCAACTAAGGATGTTTTGCCAGATCCCACAGGACCCATTAGACAGATAGCTTGTCCTGGAAACAAAATTGTTATATGCATTAACTTAGATGGCTGCTGTATAGATTACAGATTTTGGAGATATGAGAGTTCCTGTCCACAGTAAGTGTCGCTGTTAATAAATGACCAGCCAATAATTTCAATTTTAATGAAAATACATGCCACTGATTTTAACTTACCTGATGCAACTGCTAAAGCTAAACTCCTTAGATTGTTTACAGTTGATTTCACAGGTACTAAATTTCCAGATTGAACATTATTTTTTTCAAAGACTGGTAACAATATACTATCAACATTTACAACAGTCTCAGGACTCAAGTCACATTTAAGTACTCCATTCAAAGGGCAGACAGGCTCTTCTTTGCTTCTTGTTATAATATTATCCTGGCATACATGTCGATTTATGTTTAAAGTACTTAAAAGTACTTTTGATTGTGCTTCTGTCATATTGGTGAGAATAGCCATGCATTCCTTCACCATCCTAGAAGTAGAAAAGGATTAATAAAAACTTCTAAAAGTAACCTTCTGTTTAATAACTTTTATTATCAAACAGCCAATACAATTTTACAGTTGTTTTCAAAAATAATATTATGGTCCGTTCGCTATAAGAAAATAGTGACACATCGTTGTGCACTGATCAAGCCCTGCCCTATTTTTTTTAAGTCAAGTTTACACTTACCCGTTGGCTGCAGATTTACGTACGAAACGATTTACCGATTGTGGTCTTTAAGCATTTCATAAAATTTTATAAATGGATCTCTAGCTTGTTCAAAAGAACAAAAGTGTCAACAGTTTTTAATTAATACAACAACAATATATTATTACAATACACAACAACAACAACATAATTTTACAATACAACAATAATTCATAGTGGAGAAAGACGAGTTATTTATAATATTTTTAAGTACTTTAAACTGTGGGACTTTAATTTCACGGTTGCGGCTTGCGGCGTGGCCGATAGTGAGTTTATAAAAAAAATCAAAAACAAAAAGAAACTAATACACTTAAATCGTGTATGAAAAAAAAATTGAGTTAGACTATCAACAGTTATTTAATTATATGAAAGTTCATTCAAAGAACCATAAACATAACAATTTTGGTTTACATCTCTAGATGAACAGCTATTTTATTAACACGAATGGACTATAGTCATTTAATGGATACCACATATGTTATTTAAAGCATAGCTTAAGGTTAAATTTAAGTTCCAATTCCTTTATTTTGAAGTTTACATTTCTTTAAATATTATTAATAAACAAGGCATGCAGTCTGATAATTCTAAATCTTCTTACCATCTCACTTCTGCATCCTCATGGTTGGCAAAATTATTGATAAAGTTAGTCCAGTCCCATTGAGACGACAACTCATTAGGCAACTTGCTAAGCAATGTATAACAAGATGATACTATATGTTGGTCATCAATTTTCTGCCTACAATCCAGCAGACGCCGTTTTTTAGGAGCAACATTATATGAATCCTCATGACGAATAAACACTTCAAAAGGTGGTACTTGATTGATTTTAAAATACTTCAAAGCATATCTAAAAATAGATACAAATTTATTGCCAGATATATATATATGTATGTTACTGTGTGTATATATATATGTGTGTGTGTGTGTGTGTGTATGTATATAGAACGAGTTACCTATTCTTTGTTCTTCTTCTTCCTAAGCTTTGTTTAAGACTGCATCTCTAGGTATAAAATGGTGACATTGGATATCTCAAAATATATATATATATTAAATGAAATCAATTACATATTATGCAGTTGGTGAATCTTGAATTGTAAAATTTAATTTAATTTTGCAATTCAATGTATAAGTTCCATCATTTTTTTGATATTGACAAAAAAATAATGGAACCGACATACAATTGTGTATATATAAGGGAATTGATATAGTAGATAACATAATATCTACCTTTTTCTTAATTTATTTATAGGATTAAGAATACAGATGGTGACACACCACCCCTATTCATAACGTGGGTGTTGTAAGAGGTGACTAAGGGAGCAAACTACGCAGGACAACAGCACTGCAAAGAGAAGAAAAACTTGACACAAACCCTATCCCAACCTGTCTGGCCAGCGTGGTATAGTAGGCCGAAACCTCCTTTCTAAGGAGAGGCCTATGTCCAGCAGTGGACTTTTAAAGGCTGTTGATGATGATATATTCATATTACATACCCTTGGAATTGCCTGATGGGTTAACCAGGGTACACTGGTTGGTCCTATACCTAGACAGGTTACACCACGACCACTCTTCAGTGTAACCTGTTTTGTGTCTTCTAATACAAATCTAATACCTATTGTGTAATCGCATTTATTCCTATACTTACACATTTTATATTTCATGGAATGTGACTACATATGTGAATACTTGCAATAGACTGACAGTTGGATTATAAATTACCATTAGAGCAGTTGTAGTTGTTGCATTGATAAACAAAGCAGAAGACTAACAAAAATTGTGTCCCCTAAGTGAAATAGTAATAAGCTAAAAATAGTGAAGGGCCAAACTTACTGTAATATATCAGGATGTTCACTGACTGCTGCCAGCACAATGGAATATTCTAAATGGCTTATCTTTTCATTGTCATTACAGGTTTCAAAGTTTGGGTTAGAAAATACTGGTTTCAATGGTATTTTAGCAGATATAAGTGCTAATAGTATATTGGAAAGATATTTCTTGAATAATTTAGCATCGTCAATCTTGAGGATAAATTCAGATAACTTTTTCACTACATCTTGAATGTCAGATGGATCTGAAGCTAGTCTTTTCTGGAAAAAATGTTTTTTTATTTATTATACTTGGATATTTTTATACATGGAAAACTTACTGCTAGAAACATCAGTAACAATAACACAATTAATCAACTGAGCGCTAATAACCAGTTTTCACATCTAGTTACAAACTAACAAAAGTTGCTGTAAGCAAATGGATTATGAAAACAATATATATATATATATATAAGAAAAAAAAAGACAAACAAGAAAAAAATAAAATTCAACCAAATCACACAAAGACTGCGTAAACGCTATCACTGTGTTACATTTTATCTAATTGAAAAAATTAAGACTAAGGCTCCTTCTTGCCGAGAACACACTAATAAAAAAATATTTTTAGTTATTAATTTATATTATTAACTATATATTTTTAATGAAAAATCACAATTCATTTATTTTCTTTGTGATCTCTTACCGATAAGGTAAATAGTCATAGCTATAAAGGCTACCTAGGGCTCATTATGTCTTGTAACTAATATGTAGAACTGATTTACTTACTTACAACTAACGAAATAACTTACAACGACATAAAGATCATTCTAAAATAAGCTATCGCTCACTGAGTATGCATTGGTGATACTCCTTTTAAGTGATGTTCAATAATAAAATTTCTACTTAAAATTAGTTTTAAGACTAGGTTCACGACTGAGACACTTTTTAAAATACAGGCCTTAATATAGGCTAACCCAGATGATTTTCAATCCCTTATGTATTCTAAATTTCAAGTAAGTTCAACATATTAATTATATTATTCCTATATCTCCAATAATATTGTGTCAGTTTTATGACATATGCACATGTCATAAAATATTTACTGACCATTACACTTGTTGTGTAATATTCGTGCTAAACAATATTAAAATGTAAAACAATTAAATAATTATTTTTTTAACAAGTGCTCAAAAATTAATTACTATATTCAAAAATAATTCACAGACTAACTGGATTTATTTCTTGAATATTTTGGTTATACATGTGTTTAAAAACATGCAACTATATGGTAAGTAAACTAACCTGAAGATCTTTACATGTTTGTATTAATTCTGGCGTAGTTGTTTCGGTGCTTATGAATGTAAGTGCCTCTAATATATTTACCGACATCTTTACATATCGCTGCAATAAAAATAGGGATATTAACTAATATTTATTTATGCCGGGCCGCGTGTTGATGACTATGGCAAGCAAAGCAAGAACATGTGTGAAACATGAAACATTGATCGAGATCGATCGGCTTGTCATTAGTGTCAATGTCAATGTCAAAAACAATAAGAATAATCTTAGAAAACTACTCCGTCTAGAAACTAGAAATAAGTTGTGTCCTGCGTGGAATGAAACACACGCAAGTAAAAAGATATTTATAACTAGCTAACCCTGCAAACGTTGTTTTGCTATTTTCATTTTTTTATTTTTTTTATTTCTTAAATCCGTTCTTAGCTGACCTCTACTCGGTGAAAAGAATATTCCTACCAAATTTCAAGTCTTTGGCTCTAATGGTTCCAGAGATATCGTGATGAGTGACTATATACGTGGAAATCTCTTATATATATATATATAGATATATATATATATACATATATATATATATATATATATATATATATATATATATATATATATATATATATATATAGACTATGTAGCTAGATGTACCCTACCACACTTCGCTGTGCCATAGTTTGGTTGCCAAAAATAAAAAGTATATCGTCCCAAAATTTGACCAAAGCCGGTGCACAACTTTTTTTTGAAGGTACACAGACCAACTTAACATTTATATATATACACTGTGGCGGTATAGATATCACAAAAAATTAAATAACAGATAACACGGTTCAATATACGTCGGTTAAAATAAAAAAATAAAAAATTAGTACGAAAATACATAAATGCAAATTTAGAACAAACTAAATACAATAAAATAATTTCCGAATTAGAACACCATTGATAACATGAGTCGGTGAACTGTGCCTACACGGCAGCGTCGCAATGTCGGCGACATCAAAACGACGCCGCCGCCGCCGCCGCCGAACTTTACATTCTTATTACCTACTTACCAATCACTTCACTTGCTTTTAAAAATCTATTTATAAAGAATGCGATTTTATTCACGTGTTTATTTCGTGAATGCTCGACTAGCTTCCGACCCAGCAGTACGCGTCACTCCTTGAAAAAGTAGTTACCTTGGTTGTCTCGTAATCTTTGTACCGCCCTTACAAAAATTCGGCAGTCTGTAGGACATACACGATTGACTCCATACGTGTCCGTAAAGCAAAAGATGCGTTTTGTTAGAGTTTTCCATAAATTAACATCATAGCAGGATATTTCGCCGCTGTGAAGGTCACTCACGGCATTATGGATGTTGATATCGATAACCCAATAAAATTAAAAGACTGATAATGCACTCAGTTTCACACTACACTATACACAGAACCTAATAGTGACTTTTCAAAATAAAATTAGCAGGACTCCTTACATTACGAAGTCTTGCGCACACGATAACATTAATTGTTCACACCATTGCCGTGTATTATGACGAAAGCAATAAGACTAAACAATTATTACCACAAGAAAACTTCTCTAAGCAAATATGTATCTCATAAACAACAACAATATTATTATTACGGTTATTTGTCGTGAGCGCATCTACAAGGATACGGAATAGCATAAGCTCGCCGGTGGCCAAGGGCCGACTGACTGTCCTTACTGGATGAACTAATTAAAAACGCGTGTTGCATCGTGATGACGTAATAATCAACATATTTCGTTCGATTCGGGTGTAGTAAAAGCGGCAACGTGTGATTATACCTACAGCTGATCGCCGCCTGAGGTCAATGTATTATGACTGCATGTACACATGATTGCTTACAAAATGCCATTTTCATATTTTGC